GTGAAGTAAGCCAGGCCCAAAGAAACATAGGTCCCATGGTTTCCCTTATTTGCAATAACTAGTATAAGTCGAGGACAAGCAGAAAAGGTCAAAAGCTATGTACATATAACCAAATAAGATAATGTTAAGCAAAAGATAGAGACACAAGTGTTGTTTATTTTCTTGCTTGCTATTGTTTGTAATGTATTTATAATGTTCTATCTTTTTTTTTTTGTTTCTTTGGTAGGTTCCTCCCCAACAGTGTAACTCCTGTGGACACTATTTGATTCTGGTGCCCTGCATCTTGTATATACATTTTTCTAATTTGGGGAGGAGAAGGGAAAAAATAAAATGCTTAAATAGGGATACAGGTTGACCCATTGTAACAGTGAGATGTACAAGACACTATGTTGAAAACAAACGTTACAACTTTGGGCCTGGGGGCTTGGGGGGGAGGGAGGAGTTGGAGAGGTAGGGAGGGAAGGGATGGTAGGGGAAAAACAAAGGAGGGGGTAACAATGCTTGATAGGAAATGTACTCATTACCTTACTCATGTAACTGTAACCACTCTGTACAGTATCTTCACAATAAAAATATATATTAAAAAAATAGAAGACATGTAAAGACAAAATAAAAAGTACGTTGAAAACTTAAGGGGTTTCAATAAGTTGAAAAAAGAAATAAAAAGAATTAAAATATTCAAGACGCATAATAAACATTTTGGTGAGGTCATCTAATGATAAATATTCCTTATATTCTATTCTCCCATAATTCTTGCCATAAAATAGTTACTGAATACAGAAATAATCTTTAGAATAATAGAAAAATTCAGTTCAAATGAGTAAATTAGTGTAAAAATGGTTCCTTCATATGGAAATATTTTATTTCAGAATGGAATAGTTAATATATTTGCCTAAGTCACTATAATTCACAAGGACTAATGATTACAACTCCACCTGAACTGTCCTCTGTGATACAAGTTGAGACCCACCATTGGAGTAAAGATGTAATCCAACCCCAGCTGAGCTTCCAAATTCTGGGCATACACGAACAAGGAGACTTGGCCAGAGGCCCCTCTGCCCCTCTGGGCTACCAGGGTTAGACTTCCATAGGTTTCACTGACTTCAAACCTACAATAAAGAGAATGCAGCCATTTTTCTCTTATAAAGTTAATTTTCTTGGTAGTAAAGAATCAGAAGCCCAGGAAAAGGCTCGCACCCAGTCACGGGCTTACCTGCTATGCTGCCATTCGATGATGCCTCGGGCGCCATCGTTAGCATCAATAATAATTTGAGCAGTCAAACCCTCTGAGTCTGAAAAAAACCCACAGAAATGCTGTTAAACAAAGATAACATTATGAATATAAACTTTTTTAAAGCATTGTTGAAGGTAGAAATTAAAGGCAATCTATTTGAGATTAAATCATTCCTTATATAGTTACTGTTGACAGTATTCAAAAGATACTTAAGAAAGTAAAGACAAATATAACACCTGAAAGAATACAATTTGCTCACAAGAGTCATTGATACTTTTTAGGCAAATAAGAACATTGTGAAACAATAAATCAGGGTGTGGATTTATTCTTGAGTTTAATAGTATTTGGCAAGTCTGTTTAAGATCACCATTTCAGGGAATGGAGAATGGAAAGTGGAGATGGAAAACAAGAGGAGAAAGTCAGAAAATGGTTCAGAGAAATATACAAGTATACAAGTATAAATAGACAAGTATAATACAAATATACAAGTATAAATGAGAGACAAAGACAGAAACGGGGATACAAATCAGACAAGTGAGAAAAAGGGGTAAGGGTTGGAAGGGTTAACAAGAGCCTAATTAGAGAAGTAAAGTCCTATCTTTTTTATTTTTTATTCTGCCCATCAAATCCAGTAGGTTACTAATACCTTCTATTCAGTTTAAACTAAAGCTAACATTGTTGTTTTTGTTTTTGTATGGGGAGTTTATTTTGTGTCAGTCCTGGGGCTTGAACGCAGGGTTTAAGCACTATCCACAAGCTGTTTTTTTGTTTTTGTTTTTGTTTTGTGCTTAGGGCTGGGGCTCAACCATATGAGACACAGCTTCACTTATGGCATTTGGGTGGTTAATTGGAGATACAAGTCTCACAGATTTTCCTACCTTCTAACTGTGATTCTCAGATCTAGGCCTCTTGAGTAGCTAGGATTACAGATGTGAGCCCCTGGTACCTAACCCTCATTAGTTTTTATGCAGCTATGATGATGATGATGATGATGATGATCATGATCATTATCATTATCATTATTGTTGTCAGTCATGGGGCTTGAATTCAGGGACTGGGTACTGTCCCTGAGCTCTTTTGTTCAAGGCTAGTGCTCTGCCACTTTGAACCACAATGCCACTTCCAGTTTTCTGGTGGTTAATTGAAGAGAAGAGACTTACAGACTTTCCTGCCCAGGCTGGCTTTGAACCTTGATCCTCAGATCTCAGCCTCCTGAGTAGATAGGATTACAGCCACCAGGGTCCAGCTTTATGCAGTTATTTTTAGTAGTTTGTCCTTTACCTTGGGTCTAGGTTACTTAAGACAACTGCCTCCATGGGAAAAAGCATAGGGAGTCTGATTCTTTCTTAACTGAAGATACCAGCACTCAGGATTTCTATTAGACTAGAAGCTAAACAACCAGAGATTCTAAAAGCAGACTATGTCATCCAAGTGCTTTACCATTTCTTAGCTATAATTTGGGGGACAACATAAAGCTTCCTTTAGTCTCAACTTTATCAGCACAATGGAAAGATGTAAGAAATTAAGCTTGTACAAAGCATTAGCAACAAATGAATTGGAGAACAGCCAATAAGACTGTAATATGAGTAAAACAGCAATAGGCAGTATTTTGTTAGGTTTATTTAGCATAAATAATTGCCTTGTAATAATATTTGTACAAATGGCCTAGTCATTATAATCATCTATTCTTTTTTGCAAGAGTTAAAACTTGCCTAATAATAACATGTAGAAATAAAAGATATTCATTCATTTCAGAGTTGTCACTCAGAGGGAACAGAGAATACTGTTCCAGGTGGAACTATATGTGTCCTTGCATCTTCCTATCCCAGATTAGTTTCTCCTCAAGGCAGCACACCTCCTCCTATTCAATGGGGCAGCAGGCAGGCCACTCTCTCCTTACTCATCACCACCCAACCACACCTAGAGGCTTCCAACACAATTTCCCAATACTAAATGTTCAAAGTGGAAATGGGAGATTGGGTTCAAACACAGGACTGCATCTTTTTTTTTAGGGAAGCTACATAAATTTCTACCAGATTCAAGTTTTACCTTTCAGTCTGTAATGCATTAACTGTGTCTTTTCTAAAAGCATGAAAAGGAAAAAGATCAAAGTCAAAGAAAGAACCCAAGCACAAACAAACACATAAATGAAAGATAGGCTTAACATATTGGGAACTAACATAGCTTGGAGATCTAATGCAAATAGCTAAATTTTAAAAGAAAAATGTCGTAAGAAAAATGTTTTCTAAAGAAATAACATTGCATTTTAAGCATTAAAATTTTGGTTATAAAATTGCTGTAAAATTTAAGAAGTATCATGCAATAATTTTAATGTCTTTAGATTGTTCTAGGAACAAAATTGCAATAGTAGTCACTAAATCTAAAAGCCTAATATTGTCAAACATTGTTGAGATTAATGAATGTCACAACAGTCACTTCTGATTACAAAACAAAATTACTTCTTTTGACGAGAGCAAAAAGAAACAAAAACCTACCATACCTAGTCTGGGAGGAAATGATGTTAAAGGAGTCATAATAAGTTCAACACAAGTTAAATTCACCAGGAAATATTCTTCTAGCTCGGATACATCATCCTGAAAAAAAAATTATACTAATTAAATTCCTTTTATCATGTTCTCCAAGGAATTCTCCTTATGTTATTTTTATATTAGTACACATATGTGTGTTTAAATATACACATACAGTAGAAAATAAACAGAATAGAAAATATTTAAATTCCAAAAATTACCATACAAAATTAAACATATATCTGGTTGTAAGAAAAAGTTAAAAGCAATGGAGACCACCTAACTATTATAATTTTTAACTAAGCCTAATATGAATAATAAGAAGAATGACAAATGGAAACAATACAGCTGCAGACTCAATAATGTCTATCACCAAATTTTGTGAGTTTGGGTAACAATTAAATCTGAAGAACCTAACTTAACCATGTTTGTAATGAAGAAAGCAATAGCTACATTAGTATAGGCTTGTAATAATAATTTAAAGAATTCCTATGAGTACTTGGTCTAGAGAGAATGTTACTACTATTAATCACTAGTCGACATACTAATTCTGCTTTAAAAGCTCATATAACTAAGGAATCATGTACTTACATCCAGTTACATTAACAGAATAGACATTTCAAAGATGGTTTGCTTGCAAGTTTTGACAAATTCTGCTACATAATGTTGTCTTTTATATTATGGATTTTGAGTTCTTATCATATCAAATGGTCACAGTACCGTTATAATAATATATATAATTAAAACATTCCTTAATATTTTTATAAAACTAACTAAAATGAGCCAAGGGGAGAATAAATTGTTTTCCAAATGGGATCTCAAACTAGAGTAATTAAAAATATTTTTTCCAATTCTTATTACTCTTCTCTTTCTCAATTAAAAACCATCTGAACTTCTCCCCTACATATTAACTCTTTTCATGGACCTCTTAGAAGTACATGTAAGCAACTGAAACACTAAGTCCATTAAAACCCAAAACAATACAATGATTTCACAATAAGAAAAACATTCAAAAAGCAGTTTCATTCACTAGCAATTACATTACGTTTGATCATAGGTCCCTTATATGCCATCAACCACCTATGACTTTCCACCTTCTCTGATTGAACTGTGCAGTCCACAATGATGTTGACCTATATGGATTTGCTGGCCTACTAAATTATCAAAACACTCTTTTGGGACCTCTTACAAGTACCATCTTCCCCAAGGAAAGTCTCTATCAGAAGATGTTTCTATCATAAAATGCACCGATGTCGGCATATGGAAACAAACAAACAAAAAACTACAAAACTCCTATGTGATTTGACAAAAAATATAATCATATAAAGAAATAAGCTTAATTAAAAGTAAGGGACCAGCAGGAATATCAAACCAGAAAATGACTTCACATAGTTAGAAGCTATTGCAGCTTACAAAAACTTTATATTGAAGACAGTAATTTTTTAACATAGAAAGAACTAAAAATAAACATGTGGTATTAGTCTTCATGACTTTAAATAAAATCTTAAAATGTCAATGTATTAGAAGTCTCTTACTAAGGGCTATAAATTTGCTTACAACCATTGATAGAATAGTCTACCATTTTCTACTTTCTTGGTGACTACTTTGGGTTTCATACAACAATGAGGAAATAACAGGAGTTTTACCTCAAGTATAGTAATGTTGATGGCTTTTGTTGTTTCTCCTTCTTCTAAAACCAGAAAGCCAACTACAGGGACAAAATCAACTTCTGGCTCTGCAAGGTTTCCTTCTGTTTGGTTCTTCAGACTCAGCATCCCAGGAACAGTGGCATATGTGACATTGACAGCTCCTAATACATTGGTTACACAAAATTTGATGATTATTTTAAATTTTAAATAATGTCTCACTTTAAGCTCTTTTTCTGTCCTTTAGCACCTGCAGTAGCTTGTGCCATTGGCCCATATTCCTCACCCCTTCCTGTATTTCTGGTCTTTACCATCTGTGAAGGCTCAGCTATGTCCCTCTTTAGGAAAAGCTGACTCCTCAGAGCTCAACTTGAAGTATGGCTGTGTGACTTATTTTGTCAATAGTATAATGATGATGTGCTAGTTCTTAGCCTGCACTTCAGTGGGTCTTGTGTGTTTCACTTGCTTTCTTGTGCCTTGATATGTACCCAAAGCAGAAAGAGAAATGTGGAAGAGCCAGGATGGACAAATCCAGCCTGGTTAATGGGCACAGTGCCAGCCTATTGGCTGTTGAGAGTCCATGTCTTCATGTGACACACTTTTGTGAAACTAGATAATTCCTTTAAACTTTTCATACACAAAGAACATATTGAGTACTGTCCTGGATTAATAAATAATAATACTTATCCTTTCCTAATTTTTGTGAGCATCCTTTGAAGTAGAGTATTTTGAACACCCTGCCCAAAAACCCCATTCGTTGCATAGTAACGAACCTAGAGACCCAAACTCTCTGTTGACGAAAAGCTGGATTGTTACATTAGCCTCCTGTAGTAAAACAAATCTTGATGAAGGAGCAAAATTTAAAACTCCATGGGGTTCATCACTGGCTTCTACTGTCAAGACAGCAGCATATCCTTGAGTATCAAGCAGAGCAATCCCTGCTGGGGGAACCCCTAGAAAACCAGAGATCGTATTAGGAATTCTAATGGTGCCTGACATTGCTTTGTAAACACTAGACTACAGCCCCACACACTGAAGCATGCTGTATACTGTAACCAGAACTGATAAAGGTTCTATTTTGCTCATTTCTCTAGTAGAAAACATCAAGCTGACAAACAGAGTCCATATTTCACATTCACATACTGTCCTAGTGTTTTTGGATCTCACATTTCTGCTCGAACGACAGTATCTTAAGCATCTTATTTTTTAAACATTTTAGAATTTTAAATATTTAAAATTTGTCTAAAAGCTAAGTGCAAAAATGACAACTATTATTTGTTTTGGTTCTCTAAAAGTACTCAAAAGAAGTTCACAATTGAATTCTGTATTACCTTGTGTCCTGACATCAAACAGAATAATTTGATATATTTCTTTCTCTTCAGGAATGTTGTCATCCAACAAATGGACAAATATTGTCTTATTCAATATTCCCTGTTTAAAACAGAAAAAAAAATCTATGCCTGTAGTATTGCTGAACAAAAGCAATCTGCTTTTGGGGGGCATATAAATTGTGTGTGCAAACATATGATCATTTAATAAGAGTTATTTAGTTAAAACTTCAATTAAATAACACACTTGACATGAGAAACAAGGTTTCAGGCAGACAAAAGCAAATCCTATAAGAAGATTCTGAATGTTGACCTGGTTAATGTACATTTTATCCTATGAGCAAGGTGCCATTATTAAAAGCTTCAGACAAAGTAGTAAGTAACCAAGATTTGCTGAAATGGTGAATTGGAAATGGAGCAAGCAAAAAGAAAAAAACAAAATGCTTAAAGAGGGATACAGGTTAACCCATCATAACAATGATATGTACACAACACTATGTTGAAAATGAAGTTTACAACTTAGGTGGGCAGGGGGGGTGTTACGGAATGTAGTTGTGGAGGTGGGAGGCAAGGGATGGTAGGGGAAAAACAAAGGAGGAATCAACAATGCTCCATAGGAAATGTACTCATTACTTGTTCATGTAACTGTAACCCCTCTGTACAGTATTTTTACAATAAAAACCGTACAAAAAAAAGAGAGAACATGACAGTGTTGCCCAGATATGTTATTGAAATTCCATTGTAGCATGAAAGGCATTGGCTCTAGGGCTTGGCTCAAATGTAAAAACAGTAAAAATGGAGAAAAAACAAGTACACCATCAAAGAATTCATACCAACTGGGGATGAAAAAGCGATAATGACAATAAACACAATAGTGGTATAATTTTCTATCCCATTTCCTCAAAATACACTGTATCTTCTAAAAAGTGATAGTAAAACTTTTCCTTATAGTTTTACCTCAGGAAAGAAGAGTTGTCCAGTAAAGTTAGCAAAATTGAGTTCTAGATTTTGTCCAATAATTTTCCAGTCAACAGTAACATTTCCTCGACCAGGAGGTGTTCTTATCACATGGAATTGCAACATTTCTCCTGCAAGTACAATGTACAGTTTGGTAAGTACTTAATGGAAAAAACGAACTTAACATGTGAACTCAACAAAGCCCACACCCCCAGCATGCAACCATTATGGCACCTTGCCCAAGATCATAATAGAACTATTCTGTTTTGAATTTCCTAGAAGCTTTATACATGCTTATTGTTTATTGTCACAATAATTCCATACCTAAACACTATCAAGTTAGTAGAATTTTAGGAAATTCAACATGTAACAGTTACAAATGCACATGCTAAAACGAGAAACACAAACTTGTATCCACGTCAAATCATGCACCAGAACATGAATGTTCTGTAGGTTAAAGAAAATTCCTTGTGGTCAAATGGAGTGTTCGCACAGAAAAAAAAAATCTTCCTTTATTGCCCAAAAGACATAAACTCCTTACACTGTAATGCAATGTGATTTTACATAATGCATGCATAGAAATGCTTGCAAATACCTGAAAATCACATTTCTTTAGATTATAACTTACATATACCATCAATGATTTTGTTTTATAAAAAGAAATACAAAGGAAAGGTGTCAAATCTGCCCACCAGTGTCCATAACATCACCAAAGTTACAGTTTTCCTCCCAAGATAACTAAGAATTTTGGATGTTTTACATTTCTGCTTTTTATCCCCATTCAATACTTCATAAAATACTAAATACTATAAAATTTCAATAAACTATTAAGTGATGAGAGTAATCTCTTTCAAATAGATAACTGAGCTTGCAAAGAATTATGGGGATGACTTTGGGGGTTGTTGACAATACATTCAATTCACAGACACAAATTAAGGTACAGTTGATGAACAATATAAAACCAAAATTATTAGAGTAAAAGATAAATATAACATTTAAAAGGCTTTATAAAGAACAATCCAGAGATAAAAATTGAAATGTATGGATATTCATTTTAAAAAATTCCAAATAGCTATTTGGTACACAAGTAAAATCTTTAAAACTTTTCAGAAAAGGAATAGAAGCAAAGATAATAAAATATGTTGTAAAACCTTGCTCTAATATTTTTTTCAAATTACATTTTTTAAAAAATTTAATAAACTTAAACACTTATTTCTCTTTTTATTTTGGCAGTGTTAAGGATCAAATAAGGCCTCAAATGCTAAGAAAGCATTCTGCCACTGAGCTATCTCCCAACCCATAAATATCTGGTTCTAATGGAAATGTCTCAAATCAATATATGATGGAATGATTTACAGACTCCGTTAGCACTAGTTACAAACAAAAGCAAAGAAAACATGTGTTAAGAAAACAAATGTAGGTCAAAAATCATTCATATTAAATGAAAACCCAGAATCACAATAATGATAAATTTATGGCTTCAAGATTAAACAACGCTTTTGAAATAACACAATATTTTGGCGTGACAATGAAAATTAATTGTGGAGAAAAAGATTACTTTCGATATCAAATGACAAGTATTTTCCTAAGTACTAAACTGCCTTCCAGTATCGCTAAGGATAAAAGCCAAAGAAGTGCTGTCAGCTCTCAGTCTGACTACATGGCTGAGCAATCATCTCTAGGCAAAATCCACACAGTCCAGCAAAGAGGATGATGTACGCTATAACTAGGGCAGAAGATCTGTCCAACAGTAGCCAAATCTAGCCAAAAGCAGATAAAAACATCAATGAAAATGCATTTTAATAACTTTGAGTGTTTGACTCTTTCCCCAAACCAAGATGGTTTTCATAAAGATAAGTATTAACTATATTGTGAATTTTAAAAAAGTTTAGTCAATTAACATATATAGAAGTAACAACTTTGGTGCGGGGGAGGGGAAGATTGGGTAGGGGAGAAGGAGGAGTATGAGAAGGGATAGGAAAGGGAAACAAAGGAGGACGCTACAATGCTTGATAAGAAATGTACTCATTATCTTGCCCATGTAATTGTAACCCCTCTGTACAGTATTTTCACAATAAAAAAAGAAGTAACCCCATATTGTTCATAGTAGACATGTATCAGCCAAGTTGATTTGGATTTTACAAAAATAAAATTGTCTAAAATTATAAAAATATAAAAATGACTTGATGCACAGACTGTCAATATGAGCAGTTTGGAAGAATTAATTGTTTCCAATACTGTAGTCCAGCTTATGCATTTCTTAAAGATTTATAGTTACTGCTCAAATATTTCACTAAAACAGATTCATACTGTCCCTGAAAAGTGAAGTAAAATTAAATCTATCAAATATGATGTGGTGATCATGCTGCTGCAGAGCTGAGTGGCAGAATGAAATGTTTAACAGATTTATACAAATGTGTTCACAGTTTACAGCTGCAGCAAAACCCATCATCTCACATTTCTGAACTTTGTCTAATGCATCAAAAAATGTAGTATTTACCATGAGCATCTCTCTTTGTTTTAAGACAAAACAGATAGATTGAATTTTCCAAATTCAACACATTGCTAAACACTAAGGCAATTTTTCTGTGAATCAACAATGGATGCTCTAAAGGTGCAAGTCCAGCATAGTCCACATTTTAAATTTAATTACACTTATCCGTCTCCAAAAATAAGGCCAAAAGCAGTGTTAACATTGTTGAAAGCCCACATGTTTCCCTATGTAATTTTCATAATAAGATAAAGTACACATCAAAACTGAATTATTGAGATATAACATGTTTTAGAAAAGAGTAAACTTAGGCCTTCAGATAATCTATCTTAAAAAAATCAAAGGAAAGAAAAGTTGAGACTACCCTCATTTTTATTCAGAAAACATAAACTAGCTGATGGGCAATCATGTGTTTTCTCTCCAGGGACACACGTACGCTCACAGAAGAACGTGCAGATTTTAAAAGCAGATTTTTAAACAGTTGGAACAGTTGTTTTCATTGCTAGTCCTTTGTCTTATTTGTACCTCCAGCAGATAGCTGTTGGAAACTGAGAAGAGCATAATACAGTTTTCAGGTGAAGTTCATCCACTCCAAAGAAAACATATATATATATTGACCTAAGCAGGTTCTCGGAGATGCTGTGGTACCCAGTAGGCTAGCACTGACTTCTTCCATGGCTTTTAATTTACTACTTATCATCACCACCCAAACACTACCAGGAGGCACTTGTACAGCATTAGTTGCCTTACAGTGAAAATACATTTAAACTCATGTTGGGTATCCACATTCTTCTGTATTCTTTAAAAACAAAATTCCATCATATTGTAAAGAGCAAGAGCCTATATAACACTAAGCACTTTCTTTAATGCTTTGTGGCCTCTGATCAGATATGCTCTTCATTCCACCAACATGTTGATAAATTCTCTTCTTATACATTATTTTCTGTCCTTAAGCTTCTTCAACATAAAAAATACTCCAAAATACTCCCCTTGAATCTATATTCTACAATGTTTCTCCTTTCTTCTCTCATGGCCAAGAAGCAGTACTTCTCAAACAGTTGCCATGATAGACAAGGGCCTGTATGTTTTGTTTTATTTGTCTTAAGCCACCCTACACCAACATTGTCATAAAGCCCCAAAAGTGGCATTACTACTTAAGTTAAATCGCAAAAAAAAAAAAACATCCACCCATACAGAATAGAAGCTGCGTTTGGATAATATAGTTGAATTGTCATAAACGTTTCTAAACAATTCTTGTTATAGACTCTCAGTAAGATTGGAATTGGCCTGAGGACCACACTTTGAGGAGTACTCCCCACAGGCTGCTAAATTCTTCAGTTATCATCCTGTACTTGTCAGCCTCAATTCTCCTTGAGATACAGAATAGTGACTCTCTTGGTGCCTTCTCTACCCTAACATCTGATTCTACAACATCTAATTCTAAACCATTCTACAACATCTAATTCTAAATCATTATTAAAAACAAAATGTTTAAGCCATAAAGAAAATGAGCTATAACAAACACAGTGACATAGGCAAATCCAATAAAATTGCAAGCTGAGGAGCCCACAGAAAGGGGATAGAAAATGTTCAGTGAAGGGATAGCTTCCACAACTCAGCAACTAACTCTAGCTGTTAGAGCCTTAGTGCCTCCGTATCTCAGCTTTGTTTTCTCATCTGTAAGTAGAGATCCAATTATGTGAGCCAAATTATTTACATTTCTTAAATCTTTATGGTAAAACTATTTTTTAAAAAAATACAAACTGTGTGGTGAAACCATCTATAAATAGTTTTTTATCTCCACAGCTTTTTACAATGTTTGAGCAAGTCATTCTTATGCATGGCATGAAGATATTACTCAAGATTTCAAGGACAGTATTAGATTTAAAGAAAAATGGACAATGTATGAGATTTTCCAACTTTGTACTCCTTTCATAAAAAGAAAAAAAAGATACAATTGTAATCTGTTACTTTTTTATTGCTACCACTAGTAACATATGCTACACTTGTCAAGAACTATGCTAAGTATTTTACATTTAGCTGCATGCTTACTCCTCACAAAGAAACCTGTGAAAGAAAAAATACTGTCATTTAATGGATAAGAAAGCTGAGGAACTCTAGTTTGACTAAAAATAAAATCACAGCAGTGAGATGGCAAGTTAGAGCACAGGATTAATCAAGCAGTTTGTGCGATAGCCAGCCCTCTCCCAATCAAGTTCTATCTGGATGAAAACACACAGCTAAACAACATAATTACAAGAAACAAATCAGAAGAATTAAACAGCTCGAAAAACAATGACATGGACAGAAAAAGGAAGGAATGTGTTCAGCAATAAAAGGAACCCACCTTCATGCCCTATGACAGACCTGGAAGCTGTCTGAAAGCTAACAATGCCTGCCACATTGTCATTGGCCAGAATGTTCACTGTAATTGTGTCAGAGCTGGGCAAAATCCTGCTTCCACCTTCAGTGTGCACCAAACGAACGATGATGCTTTCCTCATCTTCAGGCTCAGAATCATCTAAAATGGTTAAAGTTACCGTCCTTTTTGTTTCACCTATTAAATAATAATAATAATAATGGAATTAAAAGCTAAAGCAACAAAATCATCAAGAGACTACAAAGGAAAAAGGACAAAATATTTTGTTTTTATAAGTAAAAATATTTGAGCCATTATAACAGTTTAGTACCACTTTAAGCAAATAGTGTACATTCACGATAGATATAGATATACACTGCAAAATTTCATCAATGTGGGCAAGATTGTAGACAAAGACATTTTGAACTGTGAAAAAGTTCAAGACTGTGGAAAAGTTCAAGAATATAATTATGTAGAAAAAAACCATGGTAAGTGAAGTAAGCCAGGCCCAAAGAAACATAGGTCCCATGGTTTCCCTTATTTGCAATAACTAGTATATGTCTGAGACAAGCAGAAAAGGTCAAAAGCTATGTACATATGACCAGATAAGATAATGTTCAGTGAAATGAACCCAAGATAGGGACACAAGTGTTTTTTTTTCTTTCTTGCTATTGTTTTTAACATATTTAAAATGTACTATGTGATTTTTTTTGTTTCTCTTGTATGTTCTTCTATGGTATAACCCCTCTCTCTTTTCATTGTATTTGATTCCGGTGCCCTGCATCTTGTATATACATTTTTCTAATTTGGGGAGGGGAAAGGAAATAACAAAATGCTGAAATAAGGATACAGGTTGACCCGTTGTAACAATGAGATGTACAAGACACTATGTTGAAAACAAACTTTACAACTTGCGGGGGAGGGAGGAATGGTAGGGGAAAAACAAAGGAGGAGGTAACAATACTTGATAGGAAATGTACTCATTGCCTTACTCATGTAACTGTAACCCCTCTGTTACAGTAGTTTTACAATAAAAATTTTTTTAAAAAAAAAACATGGTTTAACATTTTTGGTCTTTAGTCAAGAACATTGATCTACCTGAGCAAAATGTAGAAAGCAGATTGTTTAGAAATAATTCCCTTAAAGAGAATGGTAGCTCAATTTCATTTTGGCTTTGTGATGCATATTTTAATCACATTTTTCAATCCAACACCTGCCTGAAAGGGTAAGAGTATTCGGGGAATGGTGGTGAAATGGGGAACTAGAAATGACAAAAGCCGGGCAGGGATGGCTCATACCTGTAATCCTAGCTACACAGGTGTCTGAGATCTGAGGATCCCGGTTCAAAGACAACATATGGGAAAGAAAATCCCTGAGACTCTTATCTCCAATAAGCCACTCAGAAAACCAAAAGTGGCACAGTGACTCAAGTGGTAGACTGCTAGCCTTGAGCTGAACAGCTGAGGGACAGCGTTCAGGCCCAGAGTTCAAGCCCCACGACAGACAAAAAAATAAAAATAAATAAATGATGAATGTGTGCATAACCAGATAAGACAGCACTAAGTGCCAGGTTCCAGGATGTGAGAGCATAAAGAAAGGAGGAAGAAAAGGAATTCAAAGAGCAGCAAAAAGGACCAAGCAATCAACTTTGCAGTTGTCTGTAGGAACCCATTTGTAAGGTGACAATAATTCATCCACTCAATAGTATTTTTAAAAAACTTACAAAAAAAATAGCTGGGTACCACTGTCTCAGTCTGTAATCCAAGCTACTCTGGAGATGGAGACCTGAGGATCATAGTTCAAAGGCAGTCCAGGCAAGAAAGTTAATGAAACTCTTATCTCCTAGGCATGGTTCTTGAGCTCTTTTTGCTCAAGGCTAGCACTTTACCACTTTGAACCACAGAGCCACTCTGGTTTTCTGGTGGTTAATTAGAGATAAGAGTCTCATTTACTTCTCTGCCTGCACTGGCTTTGACCTGAGATCCTCAGATCTCAACCTCCTGAATAGCTAGATTTATAGGAGTTAGGCAGGCACCACTGGGATGCGAGGTAGTAGTAATTTTATAATGCTATTATTTTATAAGATAATTTTCTTTGCAGTTATCAAGACCACTGAAAACATAACCATTATCTCTCTCTTTAACACATTTTCATTATTTCATTTGAAGCAGAAAGGAATGGCACCAATTACTGACTATATCTTTCCATCAAGCAGAACATTGACCACTCTCACTCTTCTCCAAATCATTTACCAGTAAATAATCATTATAGAAATATTTTTAAAATTGAGTTAATTTTTTTCATTTTCTTTTTTTTCAATAAGTTTTTTATTGTGAAAATACTGTACAGAGGGATCATAGTTCCATGAGCAAGGTAATGAGTACATTTCTTACCAAGCATTGTTACCTCCTTTGTTTTTCCCCTACCATACCTTCCTTCCCACCTCCTTGTAAAGTTTGTCGACATAGCGTCTTGTACATCTCATTTTTTAAAGTAATTCTCAAACATGTTTTCAAAAGTATACTGTGTATATATCATGACTGAAACTTAAGTTGCCAAAAAAGGTGTATGTATTAAAAATGAAATAACAGTCCTGGTGGCTCACACTTGTAATCCTAGCTACTCAGGAGGCTAAGATCTGAGGATTGCATTTCAAAGCCAGACTGGGCAGAAAAGTCTGTCAGACTTTTTCTCCAATTAACTACCAAAAAAAAAGCTGAAAGTGGAGCTGTGGCTCAAGTGGTAGAACACTAGCCTTGAGCAAAAGAAGTTCAGTGACCTGAGTTCAAGTCCCCGGACCAGAGGGAAATACAGAATATACACAGTAGGAATTCTTATGGACATTAACATAAACATTGGCTATAATATCTCTACCAGGTAAGACCCATTTAGATCCATGACTCACCTTCAGCAAAAGTTAGGAAGTCTCCAGCACCTATGAAATCTAAACCTTCAGTAGCTGTTCCCCCAACCACACGCCATTCAACTGTCACCTGGCCTAAGCTGCCCCCGGTTCTGTGGATCACAAACTCCACAGAGGTTTGTGGCTGTTCCTGCACTTCAACAAAGAAGCCATCTTCTGAGGTGTTAGGGCTGATGCTGTAGATAACAAACACTCCGAAGGCATCGCCATTTAGGGCTATGACAACTGCAGAAGTGTTTGGCTGTCCAATGGTTGGCTGGTTTTTAAAACTGGCTGTGGTATTGATGAGGTGAACTTCAAGAAGAGAAATTAGGAAGCTCTCATCCATCTCTGGAAAATCATCAGGAAGAATAGAAACTGTGAGGTTTGCAAATTCATCACCCTCCAGCATGACGGCCCACTGCCTTGTCATAGGCTCGTAGTCAGTACCAGCCACCGCCTGACCACTGAAAAGAGATGCTACCCTGCTCATGTTTTTCTTGTAGGTCCAGAAGTCTGAATTGTTGACAGTTAGGCTGACCCATGATGTCATCCAAAAACACTGGGGACCCTCAGAAGCACTGGAAAATGAAAATGCTGAGCAAGCATGCTCTCTGAGGCACAAAGTTGCACAGGTATCCTGGGGTTTCCCCAGGGTTGAGATGTTCACCCAAGTTCTCCAGAGCAGGTCAGGCACCCCTTGAGTTGGTGACTCATAATAGGATAGTAAATCTTGACCTTCCTCAACTGCAAGAGCCACTACATCAATATCAGAAGTACTGTAGAAGAGCAACAGCCGACCAAAGTGCCCACCACTAAAAGATGGAGGACAATTAAAGACAGGTTAAGAGTGGCATATGATTACACACAGAGAAGAGCAATGCTGACTGTAGTTCTCACTCTTTCTACTGTTTACTCATTCAAGCACAGTTATATTCCCTGAGCATTTCTCTTTTCACATTTTATTTTCTCACATAAGGAAATCATCCTAATTTTCAGTGAAATAATTCTTATTTTTAATCAAGCTATGAAAATACTTTAGAAGGCACACAACTGGCATCCACTTTACAATTTCCAGGCAGAGTTGCAAATTTTAATTTTTACTACTAGCGTCCACTGAAATGAAGTTAATAATAAGAGCATGAATACATTTTGAGAAAACATCATTTCTTGTCAAAAGATCTCTCAAATCTATGTATTCTGTTTCTGAGAGACCTCAAGGGACACTGTGCCAACTCACCAAGGAAATACAGGAAGAAAAGAAACCCCATATCTACCCCAGATATGTTTTAATCAGTTGGAAGTTAGTTATTTAAGTTTTTGTTCTAATAGGCCACAGATTAAGTCAATAAATTTCTAAGACTGAAAGCACAGTGGTGTATCATCTATTACCTATTTCACTAACAACTGAGACAATGAATATTATGGGGTCTTTCTATCAATAGATATGCTTCCATTGACATAATAACCTATCATAGAAGTTACAATATAGAAAACTCATCAAACCTCAATTATCTCACTGTAGATGAATCCTTTCCCACCACCACCCATTACCACATGGGTGCAAGCAGCAATCTCATATACCTTCGCCTGACAGTTACGTTAGCATGGGAACTTCTCTCCAGAGGCTCTTGAATACGATAAACCGACTGAACAAAGGCTACTGTACCGTATGGATTATCATTGGCAGGAATAACAATGCTTGCCACTCGATACAACCCAATAGTACCTCCACCAGAGGCATCAGTGAGCTGCACTTGAATAACCTAAAAATACAGTGAAAACTTCTTAACAGCATCCTAGTTCTGAAATCAGAGTAAGATTGATGCAGGGGAAACAAATCAAAACATATCTATACAAATACAAGAGCAAAATAGAGTAAACAATGCATTAATACCATGTTTATTAATAGATATATAATGATATGCTATCATCAACTTCTAATAATAAAGCATGATAATACACAACAAATATAGGCTATTCAAATCATGTAATATTTAGTTATATAATCATGTGTAACCATTTTAAGATCTGTTTATGTTTATCATTACAGTAACTTAACTTTTATGGCCTAAACAATTTTTTATTTAGAAAAAAACATTGCATATGCATTTTAGTGGAAAGTTAATCTATTATGTTTGATTTCAGACTTTATGATAATAGAAATTCTCTGACAAAAGTGAAAAGAAGCATCATGTTGACATCTGAATTTTTAAAGAAAGATAAGGAAATATATGTGATGCACTGTATTCATAAACTGATTTGTTGAATGGCAACTCCTTTGTACAGCTACCTAAGAAAATAAGACTACTCAAAAATTTATGTATTCATGAATCACTATTTTAGCAGAGAATAATGATACAATTAGGACTCAAAAGAAATTTTATGGACTTCTCATCTATAAAAAGATGACACTATTAAAGAGTAAGTGTCATTACAAGGAAATTAAGTTGACAACTAGGCTTTCATAATACTTGGGCTTCAGAAAATAAAGCTGTCTTCAGCCAATATGTCAGTATTGGATCCCAATGGAGCTCTACTTTTCCATGCCACATTATTTCTTTATCCTGAAAAAATAAATATCTGGAAAATACATCTAGTATGCTTTTCATATGGTAAATTCTCAATAATGGTTGAAAAGGAATAATTAAGTAGTAAAAACTGTACTCAATTAAAATTGGTTCATACTTAAGACAAGTGGAGTATGGATCCAAATTAAGAGCTTATATGAATTACTGTTAGGGAAAATGTGATCAATGTATATTATCTGCGTGTATAGAAATATCAGAATGCAATTTCCTATTTTGGACAATCAATATGAAAATGTGAGTAGGAGTTTATATGAAACAAATATAGCAGAGTTAACTGTAACTGCAATACAATTTATCATGTAACCATGTTGAAAAATACAACTGTATTAAAAAGCTTATGCAAGTAAGTTGGTATATATTCACAATCTATTTCTAGACTATCCCTGCTTATTTATTTGCAAGGATGACATCATGCTAGCATACTTTGGGCATTCTTACAGCAATAATTGTCACAGAAAGTCATCTATTCTAGTCATTATAAGACAAGGCACATATTTATAGTGTCATTCTATGCTAGTCAGTCCTCTCACCTCTTCAATCTCCGGAACGTCGTCAGCCAGGACCTCTAACAACAAGGTTTGAATGGTTTCCCCAGGGGCAAAGGTCACATTACCTGAGACAACTCGCAGGTCGCCAGTAGCAAGCTGTCCATTAATGGTGGCAACCCACTGAACAGTAACATTGCCGAGTGTCCCAGAATTTCGAATTATTGGCAGGTTTACCTTCACTGAGTTAAACTCAGATTCCTCTACAATAAGTTTAGTAATCTGAAATTCTGAAGGGCAGACAAAAAGGAATTGACTTCAGATACAAAGTAAAAGTGAAGCAATACAGAACTAATTGAGCATCTAAGTGACCACGCCACATGAAATCAGACTACTGGGCAGTACACAGGTCAGCAGAGCCTGTTAAAATTCTCAAATTGGTTTTCACTGTGATAAAAGCACAGGCATAAACTCAGATGAACACAGGAGGCTTAAGTATATGTCAGACATGGGTGAAATTAATCCAATGATCCTTGTGATAAATATCACAAGACCAGCTTTTGTCTTTAGGATTCTTAATGTTGTTCAATATTTAGCTGATAATACACAAGAAAAGAGAGTTCAATTTTAACATATTTTCCTATTTATTCAGAAAGCCAGGCCTGAAAAAAAATTTTTTAAAGAATTACCCCAAATTCACAAAACCTATTTAGAAGCCAGATCTGGCTCAAAATCAGTGGTTTGTGATTTTCATATTTATGATTTGTTCTATTTTTTAAATACCCATAACCACTGCCAGTTACTCTACATAGCATGTCTTATATATCAGTAACATCACATTAAAATCAACATCACATCAAATCAACTCTGAATTTCTAATTTTTTAAAAAGGTCATTGTGTATGACTTTCAACAAACAAATAAAAAACACAAACTAGTCTGATTACCAAACAGTCCATAGGGGTCATCAGAAGCCTCAATAATAATCACTGTTTCTGTTACAGCCCCTAGCTTGGCTCCTCCTGTTGTTTCATTTAGCAGTTGCACGAGAAAAGTTTCTTCCAGCTCAGGGTAGATGTCATTAATGATATAAATTGGCACAGCTTTACTGGTCTCCCCTTCTAACAAGACCACATCTGAAGAAGCTATACTATAATCTTCACCTTCAAGGAGAAAAGGTTAAGGATTATTATTCTGAAATATGATATGCATTTCATAAACATTATTAAGTATCAAACCATATGGATACACTTGGGCAGATTTTTGGAGAGTATTAACTCTATTCATCATAAACAAGATATTTACTTCTCAAGCTAGGAAAACACGAGGTTAATAAAATAATATGATAATGGAAAAGATTCCTAAGAGTGCTCAAGTTCATAAAAATGAACTTTCAAAAAAATGAACATACAGAGAAAGAAAGAGGGAGAGTTTCATTGCCATAAGATTGCTCCTTACCTAAATATATATATATATATATATATATATATATATATAGGCACAATACTTTTAGAAAAAGGAACAGAATTCTAACTTCCTTTCTACAGATATGGCACCCAAGCATCAGTGATGCAGGCAGCATGATAAAATTTCCTACAAAGCTGTGGAGTGCTGTTCAGGATAGCAGGGCTGTTTCTGGTCAGGCAGTGGATAGGAAAAGAAGGAATGCTTCTATGGACCTCCACCCCACCTGTTAGTATATGAGGTATCTAAAGCCAGTGGAGCATTCCGGGGATCAATCATCCCTAAATGTGAACACATACCACTTAGGAACAAGATGAGTCTGGTTTATTGTCTTTTTAAAAAGAATTATATCCAGATAATTTATTTAAGTAAAAACCAGCCATGATATCCAATCTGTTCTTGTTCAGGTTCCTCTGAATGGGGCCTAAAACATTCTACTTGAATTTATTTTTGAAAAAAAGCATGCTCTAAATGAGATAATTTGACTACTACTGAAGGGAGCCTTCTAAAGTTTACTTTTGGCAATATGATCATTTTGCTTATACATTACTGCTAGCCACTGACTCATCCACCATCTTCATAGATAAAGCAACACACAAAATAAAGGAATCTAGCAACAATGCTCTTCAAAAGCATCATGAACTCAATGGGCTGATCATTTTATGACATTCCTCAGTTGTCACTCACACAGGAGTAGGTTTAAAAAACAGAGTAAGTGCAGAAAAAGCTGATGCTAGCTTTAATTTTCTTTCCGTTGTTTCATGCATAGTTTTGTCATCACAGCTTTTAATGTATATGCTGTTTACCATCAGATGTCACAAATTCTACAAATTTACTACCACAATATATATATGAATTCTATATTTGTATCTGAAAAGATACGAGTATTGTTGTTTTCTACTAGGATTTTCGAATTACATCTTTGAGTGAGTTTACTGATCAAAGACACATGTCCCTCTACAACATTTCACTCCTCCCTTGTCAACTATTCGTACCAGCAATTGAAGTTATTGGCACAGCTTTGAACTTCACAGAAACATCTGCAAAGGCTCCTCCTGTTCTAGTCACGTTGACAATGGGTCCAATGTGATTTTCTGCCACATGAACAAGAGGTGCTGAGAGCTGAAGGGTTCCAAACGCATCATCATTGGCAATGATAATTACATGGGCTATCGTTTCTGCTTTGGGACCAAGACGAGGAGAATCTTGAACTGAAAGATAAAAGAAAAACTAAGGTATCAGAATTATATGAGCTGCCTAAACATCAAGAAATTTCAGCAAGATTCCATTAGCTAAGCAGGATCCTCATGCTCTCCATATTTAATTTTTAAGAGCTGACTTACGAAAATGGAGACACACAGACAACATAAATAGGAAGTTTATATCATAGGAGTAATTTTCATTAAAAATCTTTAGAACGGCTCCTGTACAGTAACATTTTAGTATGGCAAATATTTCAAAAATGGTAGTTCAAATATAATTGATAGTCAGTTTATATGGTATCACAAAATATAATGATGAACCTATGCTATTCAACTAGTTTACCAGTTTCAGAAAAGCAGCACTGAAGTTACAGAGCAGGGTAGGAATGTAACTTGGTTCCCAGAGCTCAAAGACTAGCTACAAACTACAGTCGCCCTACTAGGGTATAGAACACTAAATCTGATTCCTTCTGACTGCACTTAGATTGGCTGCGCTTGGATACCTGTTGTCCAGTCTCCTCTCCCTACCCTCTCTGCTTTACTTAGCCTCTAGTGGTCACTTTTCTCTAGTTAGAAATAACATTTTTTTAGTTTCCACATATTAGAAAGAAGATGCAGAATTTGTCTTTCTGTGCCTGATTCATTTCACTTCACATAATGTTTTACATTTGCACATATTTTATCACAAATGACACAATATTTTGTTCAATTTATAGCTAAATAATATTCATATACATATCACCACATTCCCAATTCACCTGCTGATATATATTTTATAATTATACACTTATATTACCATGCATAATTGTGCAATTGAGGAATGGCCTGGGGTCTTATATTAGTACCTGTCAGAAACCATCAAGGGTGTACAATGAGAATGTGCCTCATTCTCTCTCTATATACCTCCTCACCAACTGGGTGGATACCATCTGTCATCCATAGCCAGGCATCCTGAACCCTATACCTTCAACAGGTTCTGATCCTGGTCTTCTTACATTTTTCTTCTCATTCATGAATGTTGATGGCTACATTCTCAGCAAGGTAGGAAAGACACTACTAGTCTCTATACCAATTAAAATTTGAGTCACTGTCTCACAAATTAACACTAAGTTTTTCTTTATCCTACATCATAACTATTCTAATGCTCCTCAAGTATTTCTCATGGTTCTACCAATATATCAAACACATAATGCATGTTAATTATTTCTGATGTTCTTCAAGTATGCTTCATGGTTCCAACAAAATATTAAACACATAATGCATGTCAAGTACTTCTATGAAGTGCACAAAGATTCTGTATATACTACTTTATTAATGCTAATTGCTCAGATTTGTTGGAGACATACTTCATTTAATCCCCATAATATAGCTATCTTATGGGAAAGAAAAATGGGTCTCTAAAAGCTTATGTCCAATAACTTGGTACTCTACGATAGAGTGTGTTATCAGGTTCTAGTCAGTTGTATGTCATATTCAATCTTGATTGTATTTCTGTTTCAATAAATGGTGAGGTGCTTGAAAGCTATCTGTGTTTTATAACTCCTACTAGGACAAATAATTGAGTTTTATTTTAATGTTTGCTCTTATTACTGATTTTAAATCTTGCTTTAAAAATATGGGATATTTTGTGGGGTTTTTTTAAAGTTTAACTATAATCACAAAATTTAAAGACAGCAACTACAAATTTCCTTCTATAACCTTGGACAACAATTGTTTAAGTTGTAGATAAAGCTTTTCACCCAGTATTTCAGTAAGGTGAAACTTAGTTATTAATCCATGGTAGAACAGAATCAACATGTAGAGAGCTTGGAATCTGGCTTTTTAGGCTGCTAAGTCCATACAATTTCTCAATTTTCACACATCTTTGCCCCTCTCCCATACATGCTTCATGCCAATACAACAGGTTTTGACAGTAAGGGAATCCTCTAGAAGTAGATCAAGGTAAGAAGTTCTCCTAGGACTATCCCATGACTTTCCCCAATTGATCCTAGAGTGTTTTGAACTTACAGCATGAACAAGGATAGTAAGTGCTATAGTTAAATTATATAGGAGCATCTCAAAATTCACTCTGGGAATGTAACTGGTTTTTAAAACATAATTTCCAGACTCAAGGATGATAATATACACCTGTATTTCACACTGTTCAGTAAGCAGAAATCAAGAGCATTGCTGTTTCAGTCAGCTTAAGCAAAAAGACTCCATCTCAATAAACAAGTTGGAAGTCAGGTGTCAGTGGCTCACGCCTATAATCCTAGCTACTCAGGAGGCTGAGATCTGAGGACCACTATTCTAAGCTAGCCTGGGCAGGAAAGTCCATGAGATTCTTATCTCCAATTAACCACTAGAAAAGCAGAAGTGGCACTGTGGCTCAAGTGGTAGAGTGCTGGCCTTAAGCTGAAGAGCTGAGAGATAGGGCCCAGGCCCAGAGTTCAAGCCCGATGACCGACAAAAAAATAAACAAGTTGGGTGTTGGGTGTTGACAGTAAACACTACTATCAACTACTCATAGGCTTAAATAACAAGATATCAGTCCAAGGTTTGTCACAGGAAAAAAACAGGTTCCTTCTCTAAAAAATAACTAAAGCAAAAAAAAAATGGGTAGGGGTATGGCTCAAGTGGCACAACAGCATCTGCTTAGTATATTTGGCTCAAACCTCAGCACAATTTAAAAAAAAGTAATTTCATAGGAAAAAATTTGTTCCACTTTCAGTTGACTTACAGATAAAATTTTATGACATAATGCTTTTAAATTAGTGCTATTCTATAGGATTTTCCATTCTAGATTTATTCTAACACTAAAGAATACTTACTTGGACGGTTCTGTACTTTCTCCAATAAAGTACAATTGAGTAGTTCAATAAACACAGATTCTGATCTTTCTGGTTCTTCATCATCCAAAATTGAAATAGTTATTGTTGCCTCTGACTGATTAGCTTTGAAAACAGCAAATCCAGAAGCTGATGTATAGTCTTTCCCTTGAGTTGCTCTAGCTAAATTTGGTGGAAAGTAAGGTGGTCTTTCCATGTCATCTAGAGTTGCATATGACACGATGACTTCTCCCATGAGGCCTTTCAACCTAGTTATTGACAGTGTGATATTCTGAGTTGCCTCTTCAATTTTAGTAGGTTTATTTTCCTCTGAAAAAATGAATACTCCATAAGGATCATCACTAGCCAAAACTATTAATGTGGCATTAGTAAGAACTCCCAAAGACCCACTAGAGACACGAAGGATTGACACAGAGAATGCTTTGTCCAGTTCTGGAATGTCATCCGGTAATATTTCCACAGTGATGTGGGCCTTCATCTCTCCAATCTCAAAAGTGGTGTTACCATAGGTGAGGGCAAGGTCCCCATCAGGATCGGAGTCTATGTTCCAGTGCAAAGTCACCTGCGATAGAGCTCCATGACTCCTCTGAACCTACAAACATGGTTCAAAAGAGGAACTAATACAATTGACTGAAAACCTTATGATGATATAATAATAATAACAATACAATAACTTATATCTTCTGTTATGTAAGTTCTGAACAGTATAAAATGGCCACCTACTGCCCATTTCTGAAGAACCCTTGGGCATTCTTACAAAAGAAGAGTATTTAAAAAGTGATAGTTCCATAAAACCACAAACTATTTAGCTTCTAACTAAACTATAGCTCTACATTATGTCTAGTTTTAATATGTATCAGGAATCAAAGGTTATTAGCATTTTTTTAAATTTAGGAATAAATCATGAAAGCTTTTATATTTATAACAAGAAAAATGTAAAGAATCATTGTAAAGAATAGAACAGTAATATTTATCTGAAAACTTAGTGATGACATTCATTTTTAAAACATTTTTATATTCAAAACAACAAACACATCAAAAAATATTTAAAGTATAATCAAAATTCCTGTTTTTCCTAATTTATTAAGAAATAAAAGCTTTAAAAGTATCCCAAATTAATCTGAATTTCTATTTCTAAGAACAATTTTTATTTCAACTTAAAATGTGATTTTAACTCAAAGTAAAATTAGGGACAATGATGATTTTCGTGAGTGTGTAGGTGCCAGCACTAGGTCCACACGCTCTCACAACTTTTTCACTCAAAGCGGGCACTCTATCACCTCTACTTTAAGCTTTTTCCTGGTAAAATGTCATACATTATCATAGGTTGTCTTCTGTGGACTGGCTTCAAATCAGGTTGCTCAGATATCAGCCTCCAGAGCAGCTAGAATTACAGGTATGAGCCCTAGCACCCAGCAGGGACAATAACCTTTTTAAAAAAAGTTGATATAATGTGTCCTTTTTCTTAATTCTGCTCTCTCCTAAGTATTCTTTTTAAAGAAACAAAGTTAATTCCACGACAATATTTTGAAAATCTGACATCAGAATATAGAGGATGTCTTTGCTTGACTTTTCTGCAATGTTTGTCTAAAACTGAGAAGGCTGGGCAAGTTCTCAGTTCCTCTGAGTCCCTGAACAATAGAATATTTCTTAATTTTTGCTGGACCAAAACAGATACATACGCACATACACTCATACCAACTATGGAATAGTTGTTGTTGCTATTGCTATTCACTGATAATTTTCTTTCCTTCTGAGAAAAAGACAGAATAAGACTCCATTTCATCCATTAACTTCAGGCATAATCATGAAACTTGTTTTGACCATGGAAGTCTAAGCACTAACTATGAAAATTGTTCCCAGAAAGAAGCTATATGGACACCAGTGTGTAATCAACACATATATCCTCCCTGCAATCTTTTAAGAAAATATGAACAACTGTTGAATGATAGCCTCTTACTCCAGCTTCTTACTCCATAAATGCAAAACAAATTTTTATTATACTAAGTGATAGAGATTTGGGGACAGTTATTACTACAGCCTACCAGAACTAAGGCATAGATATCAATACTTACAGTATGTATGGGAAAATAAACCCATATGCAAAGTTAAACACAAACATAAAATAAATTGCCAATTTATACTATAGGTCTGTGCTCATTTTTATTCCCTTACACAGAAAAATAAAACCCCCCTCCATCAAGGAATGAAACAAGGGAATGAAGGGAGAAACAAGAAACGAAGGGGGAAATATACTCACAGTTAATAAAACAGTGCTGTGCCCATCTTCTGGTTCAGTTCCATTGACAGAGAGCGACTCAGGACTAAACTGAAACACTCCATGAGCATGGTCAGAGGCTGCAATTGTCACTAGAATCTGGGATGCCACTCCTAGACTGGCTGCATGAGCGAGTTCCCACAAACAGAAAAGAAAAGAAGGAAGAAAAAAATGAATCAGTACTTTACAAACCACAAGAAAATCCAAGGAACAACTTCTTGAAAAGAGTCATTCCATTCATTGAGTACATTCTAATTTGTTTGAGAAAGAAAGGCAGACAATTATAGTGGCTGCATAGGTTCATACTTTCACATGCTTTTCACTGATTTGGCACCAGTGGGATACACAAGTGCTGAATGAGTGCTCAGGGATGAATTAGGAAAACCTGCTTTTCATTTTCATTCTCTGTGAAAGAGAATTCTCTTCCACATGGAGCCTACGAGGAGCATCTCCCACGACCTTTGCTGACCTCAAACAAGCACATCTTTAGGAAACAGTGATTTCTCTACCTCTGATTGTAGTCAGTCTCACTGAACAGATTCTTAGTTTCCAAAGAATATTAACTTTAATTCTATTTATTCCATTGCATTTATCTTTCCTAATCCCAGCCAGATAGTCCAATTCTATAGCTAAAACATGTTAAAATTCAAAGAAGCAATTGATTTTTTCCCCAGGAAGAATGTTTCTTTTATATTGTATTGATGTCTTCAGATATCAGTAAACTGTGAGCAATATTAAAAGCACTAAAGTAACTAACAGAGGTTCCATGAGGCTCTGTTGAAGTTAAGATCAAGGAAAGGGGGAAGTGGAAGTTCTAACAATGAATGTAAAACCTAACATTGGGTAAAGGGATGTTAGAAGATTAGAAAGTGCTCTCCTTCAAGAAATGAGCACTCCAAACGTTCTCTTCATATGTAAAAATAATATCTGAAACCTGAGGTCAGTGGCTTGTGCCACTGAGATTGAGAGGATGCTACTTTGATGCCATCCCAGGAATTAAAAAAGCCCACCACCCTCCCTCTCAATGGAATGATGCATGTGTTGATGTGGATCTTTTAGATTAACTAGAGTGGGAACTGTAACAGGTGAATTGTGGCAGAGACTTTATCTAAAAAATAATCAACACAGAAAAAAGCCATAGGTGTATCTTAGGGGTAAAAGAACACTTGAGTTCAAACCCCAGCACCACAGAGACATAGATAGGTAGATAGATGATAGATAGATAGATAGATAGATAGATAGATTGATTGATTGATTAGATGATAGATAGATAGATGAAAGCATTTCAATATAGAAATTCATATAGAGTTGAAGTTAAAAGCTGAATCATGTTGGTATATAAACTGCTTCAAAAGGCACCTTCTTTTCAATATTCCGCCACTAATGGAAAATTACTCTGTCCATATGTTTCCTTCCAAATTTCACATTTGTTTTGATTAAATCTTATAATAAAGGCTTCCAATCTTTGCTGTACAGTAAATAAGTGTGATGGATTTCACAGGACGATACAAAAGCTTCAATCCATCTCCTTTTAGGATTTAAAGCTATGCACCGTGTTTTCAACAATTTTTTGGTAAATTGAATTAAAAAAATTCTATCCAGTCATAATTGGGAAGTGACCCTAGGGTAGACAGGGAAGAGAACCTGGGTATCACTGTCAGGGAGAGATGGAATTGCATCACTTTCTACCTGGGTTAATGACAGCCTAGAGTAAATAAAGATTCTGTCATAATTAATGAAATAAAATATATAAAGGATCTATACCTAGCACAGATTAGTATTGTCTTTCTTGCAAAGAGAAGGTAGAATAAAAACATTCACTGTTAACGAATCTTGCAACAGCTGCTTACCACGTCTGTGAATAGGCGGAATGAAGAATTCCAGGTCCCCATCTCCACTACCACTGCCATCAACCCTAAAGAGCTCAGGCACTTCACAAGGAGACACACAGAGACACAACCCACACGACACACATTGACACAATGAGAAAATGAAGAGTTCTTAAAATGCATGATGCAAATTGAAAATGCAGGGACATTCACCCCATGGTAGGCAGCCTTGCATAGAGGAGATCGTTTTAAAGGATGTGCCTGTAACACCAATCACGTCAAAGTACCAAAATTTCAAGTTTCAAGAAATACTGCATATATATTATAATTGGCATTTTAATTGCCAGTAATTCAAATATTTTTCTTTAAATCCTCACCTGTTTATAACAACATAAATTGTTTTCTAACCGTGTGACCCTTTAAAAATGCTTGTGCATAGATAATCATATGCTTATGTCTGTGACAGTAAGCTTATCAATCACAACCAATTCAGTATTAAGATAATCTAACATTGTCCCACACCACACACCAGCCCCCACCCCACTACATTCTCAAACTCAATCTCCTTCTTCTTTTCACTGACATTGTGGGAAGAGTCCTAGGGAAAGGAGTAATAAAATTCTACTTCAGCTATGGTTCCAAAACCTTCCAGAAAACACTTAACTTCTTAGCATTTTACTTTCCTCACCTACAAAACATGCTACCTTACATAGAAATGTTGTAAATATAAAATAAAATGATGGCAAGTAAATAATATTATAAAATGTAGTATGCCATGACAAGGTATAAGAACTATGATAAATACAACATAGTTATATGTCTGATAAATCACATACTCTAACCCTAATTTTGCCAAATGGTTACAAAGAAGGCAGGAAGAGCAGTGATGATAGAATGGAAAAGCAGAGCCAAATACAAACAGATGTGCTGTGTTATTGACAGACCAGTGTAAGGTCTACTCTGCCAAAACTTCTGTCTTTCTCCTCATCGTGACTGGAATGTACCAAACACAAAAAGTTTTTCATGCCACAAGTGTGGCATCCAGGACTTGAAGTCTGAAGAGGCAAAATGAATTTCCTGTAGGAATCCAATGTATAGCTTTGTTCCCATACTATCTAGAAGCCATGAGACAGGTGTGTGAAGTCAATGTCATAGATATTTTGGCTGGCATAAACATCTATTATTAATGTTATGGCTATGTTATATAGAATCAGCATTAGACACCGTGTGGAAGAAAGAATTCTCCCTTGATGATCAAAAGAATTTATATCTGCAAGCTATTTCACATACTAGGCATGAGTAGAGAACTGAGAGTCATGGTCAAGATGCTATTTCTTTCTATCTCGACTCACTGACAAAAAAAAATAATAATGCTCTGACATTACTGCTTACAGACAGCAAGAGTTCACATGAGAATTCATTTCCAACTAGTATAAAACAACTCGCAATCTAGAAATGTGAGGAAATGTTTCTACATAAAATCATAAGTATCATGATTACAAGAAACACCATAAGAGCCAGACATTGGTGGCTCATACCTGTAATCCTGGCTACTCAGTAGGCTGAGATTTGAGACCACAGTTTAAAGTCAGACAGCCTGGGCAGGAAAATCCAGAGACTTATCTCAAATTTCCCACCAGAAAATTGGAAGTGGAGCTATGGCTCAAAGTGGTAGAGAGTGCTAGCCTTTATAAAGAAGAGCTTAGGAACAGCCCTCAGGCCTTGAGTTCAAGCCCATGACCAAATTAAAAAACAACTTAGAAATATTTGGTTCAGGGCCAAGATGAAGCTAGTGAATACATGTTTGCCTAAGCATATAAGATACCCTAAATTCACTGGGTGCCGGTGGCTCACGCCTGTAATCCTACCTACTCAGGAGGCTGAGATCTGAGGATCACAATTCAAAGCCAGCCCAGGCAGGAAAGTCCATGAGACTCTTATCTCCAATAAACCACCAAAAAACCAGAAATGGCACTGTGGCTCAAGTGGAAGAGCACTAACCTTGGGCTGAAGAGCTGAGGGACAGCGCCCAGACCCAGAGTTCAAGCCCCACAACTGACCAAAAAAAAAAAAAGAAGCCCTAAGTTTCAGCCCTAGCCCTACAAAAAAAGCCTGTTATTGAATGAGAGCAAATAATAGTCGCTATCAATTTTTAGTACATAAATATTTTTAACTGTAACACAAAGGGAAACTTTCAAATATAATAACCTTGTCAGCAGTTTGACTCTGAATTGGAGATATAAAGACTTGATCCTGGAGGATAAACATTGTTTCTACATGCTATCTGCTACACAAATCATCTAGTACATTTCCCTATCTTTTGCATTTGACAAGCTGTTGCACAGTATGTTTAATCCCTCTAATGACTCCAAGCACAACCTCCCTCTCATTTGTCTTCACCTGGACTTTGATATCAGAGAGAAATTGTACATATGTATCCTAAAGTCTCACTTTCTACAAAAAGACAGTTTTAATATATTCTGCCTTACTCAATATCTCTCTTTAGATGAATTTTTTACCATGAATCTCTTTATGACAATAGTGTAGACATTAGTAATAATGAGATAATATTGCCAGTTTTTGTAATAGAAGGGACTTACATAATAAAAAACCATACTAATTCTTATTTTCTTATTTTACAAAGATAATTCAGTGCATACCATAACCATTCTATAACATCCCAGTACCAATTGACAATGAAACATCCATATTTCTTCAAAGAAATGTAAATAGGTCACCTGAACAAGATAGTCTAACTGCATTATTTACTTTTAATTTTAATTTTATTTAATTAATTTGCTTAGGTCAGTCAAGGGCTTGAACTCCTGGAAACTGTTCCCGGACTCTTTCACTCAGGGTTAGTTTTCTACCACTTTCAACCACAGTGCCACTTCTGGTTTTCTTGGTGGTTGATTGGAGATAAGAGTTTTATGGTCTTTCCTGCCTTGGTTTGCTTTGAAACACATTCCTCAGATCTCAGCCTCCTAAGTAACTAGGATTACAGACATGAGCCACCAGCACCTGAGTGTCTAATCTCATTTTAATGGAAAAGTTTTGCCATATGAGTTGTAACTCCAAAGACCTTTGATAATCAATGCTTTGATATCAGATTTGAGAATAAGATTTTATTGGTAATCATGTTATATAGATTACCAAAAAGGACAAGTTTTCACCTGGAGAGAGTTTAATAGAGCAATTATAAGAATTCACAAAGGGAGGAAAGATGGCTTTAGGGGTAAGTAGTGTGTACCCCTAAAGTGACAACTCGGGTGAATGACAACTATAATTTAGTGATTTAGTAAAATTGTTCCACTTCACTCTAAAACTGTATCTATTTTTTTTCTGTTGATCGTGGGGCTTAAACTCTGGGCCTGAACACTGTCCCTCAGCTCTTCAGCTCTAGGCTAGTGCTCTACCACTTGAGTCACAGTGCCACTTCTGGTTTTCGAGTGGTTTATTGGGGATAAGAGTCTCATGGACTTTCCTGCCTGGGCTGGCTTTGAACCATGATCCTCAGATATCAGCCTCCTGAGTAGCTAGGATTAAAGACGTGAGTCACTGGTGCAGGGCTCTAAAACTGTATCTACTTTAGGATAGATGAATGAGTAATAAAAAGGGAAATAAATGATCAATAGGTGGAATCAATATAAACCACATATACAATTGAGAATTAAACAAGCCACATGAAATTATGAATTGGCCATAATGAAACTAATATTCAACATTTATGTAGAGAGATATGAATTTTCTTTTTATAAAGAAAATAATCAGAACTGTCTGTCATAAATCTTAAATGATTATGACTTTCTGGCTATTCTCTCTAAAAACATTACACATAAAAACTGTAAGAACACTTAAAAAGAATCTTTGAAACAGAATTTACCATTAATTTATAGTTAACCCATAGTGGATGGACAAGCAAATATTTGAATTATCAGTCTTACCTCCTCCCTCCAAATTTAACAACTCAACTTTAAAAGATTTTTCCAATTCAGGGACAGAATTATCAGTGATGTTGACAAAAATGTACTTATATCTTTCTCCTGGTTGAAATTCCAGTGTGCCATCTACACTCTGAAATGGAAATGTAAGATTTCTCTGTTAGGTTATAACTATTCTCTTTAGAAAACTGCAAAATGAGGGAGTTGCTATTTGCTAGTATGGAATTGATATAAATACTGAAACAGAAGAACATACATAAAATACAAAGCTAAATACATTTCAATGGAATGAACTCCAGGAAATGGAACAGTTTTATTGGTGGTAGTGGTGATGGTGGTGGTGGTGGTGGTGGTGGTGACAGTGTTTGTTTTTGCTTTGTGTTTTTTATTGTAAAAATACTATACAGAGGGGTTACAGTTTTATGAGTAAGGTAATGAGTACATTTTCTATCAATCATTGTTACCTCCTCGTTTGCTTTTCCCCTACCATTCCTACCCTCCCCACTTTCCCAATTCCTCCTCCCCCCCACCAAGTTGTAAAGTTCATTTTCAACATAGTGTCTTGCACATCTCATTTGTACAATGGGCCAACCTGTATCTTTATTTCAGCGTTTTGTTATTTCCCTTCCTTTCCCCAAATTAGAAAAATGTATATACATATTTCTTCTGGAATTGTAAAAGGGGGGGTGACAGAAAGAAGAAAAGGTGAACAAGTGCAATCATGCTTCTAAGTATACACTATGTGGAAAATGACCTATGTGGGATAGGAGGGGGAAATTGGAGGAAAGCAAAGGAAGGAATGGCATTATCCAAAACGAGAAATGTACTCATTACCTGACTTATGTAACTGAAAGCACTCCGTACATCACCTTATAATAAAAGTTAAAATTGTTAATACTAAGAAAAGAGCAAAGAGGGTAGAGACTTATCTCAATTGGTAGAGCACATCCCTCTAGTGTAAGACCTGAGTTTAAAAAGGAAACTCTGCTTTATCCTGTTCTTTAACAGTACTAAATGTAGATACTGTTATTTGTTCATGCTTCATCCCAGAAGCTGGAGATCACAATTGATGCCCTTTAGTGCTTTGTCTTTCACACAAAAAGCCCTTCAAATCCTACCACTTTTATTCTGAACTACATTTGAATCCATCTACTTTTTTCCACAAATGTCACCAGCCTAGATGAACATATCATCACCACAGGTGTTGCTCAACACAGAACTCTTTCCTTGTCTTTCCAATGAATCATCTAATGAATTTTCCACAGTTCAGCTTAGCAATCTCTCCTGGAGCCTTCTCTCCTAACTTATGCATCTACATTTCCATCCATAACCTAAGGAATCATGTCTGCCTTTGCACTGAAGCAGATATCGCCATAGGAGACATCATAAGAAGCAAAGGAAATTGTTCAAACTGGAAGCAGCTAACAGCCAGCACATCGAAGCACCCTGAAAAATCCTCAGAGACTCCTCCAAGTAAATCAACTTTCTAATGGGCATGAAGGATAGGGGCATAGGGTTGTTTTATTTTGTTTAGCCTTGTTTTATTTATTAAGTAAAGAAAATTATAAAACAACTGAAGGTTGGAGCTATTCAGGCTATTTAAAAATCGAAGACCACTAACAGGAGGACTAAAGGATTGTCCTAAGAAACACATCAAACCAAGAAGCAATATATTATGGAATACGTTAAATATCAACCAAGAGAGAAAATAAATGTCAAAGGTAAAAAAACAAAAGTTCACTCTCCTAAGAAAGCAGCCAAGAAAGAACAAATCCAAAAAAAAAAACTGTACTACAGTTAAAATTAATAGAATTCTATTAAACAAGACTGCTGGGTTTAGGAGGAAAATGTGTATGCATTAATGTACTTTTTAGTATTTTTATGAAGGTGAGAAACAAAAAAAACTAACAATTTTTTTTTAAAAAGGCTGGGCATGGTGGAACATGGCTCTAATCCTAAATCCCTGCTACTCAGGAGGCAGAGATGGTCAAATTTCAATCCAATCAAGTACACTAATTCATATGTATTTAAAAGGCAAGTAAGCATCAGTGCTTATTTTCCTGGTAAGCTCAAGTCCCTTCCAGGCTTCCAAGGGAAGGATTGTGTCCATTTCCAAAATGCAAATGCAGCTACAAAGGCTTAGGGGCATACCTGGTAATCCTGAGGACTGAATGCCGTCAAAGACAGGGTCCTGTACTCAGCAGTCACCCTCCCCAGGAGTCCTAGGGTCCGGACCACCAGCAGCCTGACTGCTCCATCCTCTTCTTGAACAGTAAGTTGGGGCATGCTGCTTGCAGGCCGGCTCATCGCATCCTCAGGCTGAGGAGGCAGCCCTGTGGAGAACTGCAGCAGACCTGGAGGAAACAAGGCAGACAGAACTCCCTTCTCTTATCTCTGGAATACTTTCTTCCTCTCCTAAAGCAATCTGTTCAGTCATTTTCATTGACAGGCTAACATCCTGAAGGCTTTTATGTAGAAAAGTCTCTTTCTACAGACTTTTGACATGGAATCTGCTTACAAGCCTTCATGATGGAAAAAGTTAAAAAAAAAAAAAAACTTGTCACATGAAGAGCATAACATGCTCAGAAGCATTTTGATTCTACATTAGCATTAGTAAAAGGAATACTTATGGCATTTTAAAATATGTGCTTCCACAGTCAACACAGTGGTACACATCTATAATCACAGCACTCAGGAGGCCCAGGTGAGAGGAATATGAAAGTGGAACCATCCTGGGCTACAAAGTGAGACCCTGAGTCAAAAATACATGTATATGTGCATGTATCATGTATTCATATTTGATTCATCTGAATTTCTTGAATTGATAGTAGAACAGGATTAATTGCACCTTAAAGAATTTGCAACAATTCTGAAAAAAAATAAGCTCACACCTTCTCTACCAAGAAGTTTACACCAATGTTCTTGCTCTGTTCACACACAAGAAATATTACTTGTTAGTATAAAACAAAGTCTCAATTTAGTGGACTAGGTATCTATAATTTCACAATGAAGAAAATGAACACATTTCAGCATAAAAGTAATAAAGTAATTTTAGTAATATATTGTTCATTATACTTTATAACTATGATTAATTACAACTAATCCTAATAAATGCACAGAGATAATGTCACTTGAATCCTAAAAAAATATATAAACTATGAAAATTTTCAATTACTTATATGTTCAAATGCCACCATCAGGGATGTGTTTAGAGGAATTTTGATAGCCACAAATAAAAGAACTTTTATTTTCATTTTGAATAATCCTGCAAACACATTGCAAAATACTTAAATTCAGAAATTGCTCTTGATTTTTTCCTGATAAACAATGTTGTTCAAATTAGCAGCTTAGATGTTAAAGGCTTAAAGGTAGAGGATCTTGGGGAGTTCATTCAATTGCTTGCAAAATGTCCCCAAATACGGGGCAAAGGAATCTATTGCTGCAAAGGGTATATTACCATACGGATGATCGCTGGCTTTGATGGTGATATCTGTGGTTTCCTTTTCAGGATCTATGCTTGCCCCACTGGTGGGAGTTGAGCCCAGTTTCCCATCTCCAGGAACAGCCGACACCAGGGTTACCTGGAAATATTCATTCAGCTCAGGAATGTCATCATCGAGAACATGTAAGTTTAGGACCTATGAAGATAAAAGATCAGAGGCACTAAGCAATGAGGCCTGTGTAATTATCAGGGTAAATAAAACATCTACAATGTATTTATTTGATTTATTTTTCCTATAATTAGTAGTTGTGCAAGGGAGGTATCATTTAACGAAGCAGTATATGTCATTTAACAAAACATCTTGATCTGTGTCACCAGTACAAACTTACATATTAAACCACATATATTTGTATATGTCAATACATTCAAAGAAAAAAAATCTGAGGAAATAAATTAATTCCTTAATTACAGGGTGATTTGATCTGAATGTCAGGGGCTCTGCTCTCCTCCAGTCCCTCTGATAGTGTACCTGACCCCCAAAGCCCTAGTATTAAGACGGAGAGCTTTGGGAAGAAATTCCATCTGAAAGGCAGAGCTCAGAAATAAAACCAGTGCCCTCAGAACAGCATCTGGAGGGAGTTTTTTTTATTTTCCCCTAGCACCCAGTGAGGACGCTGACATTCTGCTGGTAAGTCTCAAGATCTTTTCTGCTTTGAACCTCAATCCTTAGATCTCAACTCCTAGAGTAGGTAGAATTATGGGTGTGAGCTACCAGCATATGCCTCCTAAAAGCCAGGCATGGCCTCATGAGACCCTATCTCAAAAAAGAAAGAAAGAAAATAAGTAAAGAACTTCCCTATATGTGCAATAACAACAGAATAGTGTACTCTGAAGTTATACCACTTTTATTATACTGGAATTAAAGAATTAATAAAATTGTAACATGTTGAAACTCTTAATTTTTCTCTCTATCATGGTATGCATACATGTGTGTATATGTGTGCCCGTGTGTGTGTGTGTGTGTATGTGTGTGTGTTTAGCGTGTATAAGCCACAAAGAAGTGACAGAACAAACACATCAGGAAAATATTCCCAAGAGGCATGAAGAGAGGCAGGGCTAGGCTTACCTCAGATCTCTGCCAAGGAAGAAATGTGATGTTTCCACTGGCATTGGTGAAATCATCCACGAGGTAATCACTGCCCCCAGACTGGATCTGGGAGATGGTGTAGAATACATGCACAGAGCCCAGCGCTCCCCTGGTCCGCTCTACCACACAAGAAACTGTGGCTCCCTCTTCTACAGTCTGCATTTGAGCACAAACCACTTAAGTCTCTATTTACAGAAACTAGCAATAAACTTAGTCTACTCTTTAAAAACTTAATTCTTTAACTTTCTACCTCCCTCAGAGGTCCATATGATAAAGTTTTGTCTGTTAAAATACACTTGCAATCATTTCTTTTCTTCTTATTCTTTGTAGGAATCCTAAAGCAAAAATTGACCATAATATCTTAACCATCAAGTTAGCTAATTCATTGATAACTTTCTGGGTGCCAGCCATGGTGCTAGAGCCAAAGCTACAAAAGACTTTTTTTTTTGGTCAGCTGTGGGGCTTGAACAAGGCCTGGGGGCACTGCTCCTGAGCCTCTTTGTGCTCAAGGTTAGCAGCTCTACCACTATGAGTCACAGTTCCACTTACATGTTTTTTAAGCGGTTAATTGGAGATAAGAGTCTCACGGGGATTTTTCTTCCCGATCTAGCTTTGAACCGTGATCCTTAGATCTCAGCCTCCTGAATAACTAGGATTACAGGTGTGAGCCACCAGCACTGGCCAAAAGACTTTTTTAAACCAAAAACATGGACATTCCTTTCTTTGGATAATTGTAAATCTGAATAGAAAGACACACTTGTGACTTAATGTACAAACAGAGTAGATGAGACATGACATCAAGGAACCTTCTAGGGATAGATATAAGAAATAATACAGTGTGTTAGGGAAACCATTAGGGAGATGATATGAAGTACCAAGAAGAAGCATGAAAAAATTCTTGGCTGGGCATGTCATAACACTCTTACAATGCCAATACTCAGGAGGGAAAGGCAGGAGGACTGCACCAAACTCTAGCTCAGCCATGATCTACATAGCATTTTTTTTGGGGGGGGGTTGATCGTGGGGCCTGAACTCTGGACCTGGGTGCTGTTCCTCAGCAATTCAGCTCAAGACTAGCGCTCTACCACTTGAGCCAAAGTACCACTTCCTGCTTTTTCTGTTTATGTGGTACTGAGGAATTGAACCCAGGGCCTCATGCCTTGGATCATAGGGAAAAGCCAGCCCAGAAGAAAAGTCTAAGAGAACCTCATTTTCAAAATATGCAGCAAAAATCTGGGCTAGAGGTATGATTCAATGGTAAAGGAACAGGCTGGCAAGCAAGCAAGCAAGTCAAGCCAAGTGAGAGACCCTGAGTTCAAACTGTGGTACTAGAAAAACAATGGAATCACTTAATACACATATGTATGCATGGATGTGACAGTATACTCCTCAAGTCTCAGCCACTTAGAGAGGTGGAGGGGGAGAATTGAAGTCCAAATGAAAAAGAAACTAAAAGGATTGCAGGCATGGCTCAAGTGGGAAAATATTTGCCTAACAAGCATAAGACCTGAATTCAGACCTCAGTATCATCAGAAAAGAAAAAACCTTAAAAAACAGAAGTGTCTACTCACACATACTAAATGACAGTAGATTTACTGTATTTTCTTAACTCAGTTTTAATGAGAATCAAAATTTTGAATGAGATAAACTATCCATCTCAATATTGTAAGTATTCAACCAATGCCTTTTCAGTAAGATATGGAATAAATAGATTCAGGAATGTGTAACAGTTCCTTACACTCTTAAATTTTCACCAACTCAAAGACCAAGACTACGATGTATCAGAACATAATTTCTTCATGTTTTTGTTTTGGGTTTTTGGCTGTGTTTTTTTTGTTTTTGTTTTAATAATTCACCCCAAAAAAGATGAAACGAGTCTATGGAAAAGGCTGAAATTACTGAAGCTGGGTGATGGATACACTGGATCCATTATTCTTTCTCATTTCTGTACCATGGCTTGGACTCATGGTCTCCAGATCCTGCTCAGCTTTCTTGGTACTCCACCCCTTGAACTGTGCTTCCCATTTGACATTTTGCCAGTTAATTGGAGATGGAGTCTTGAAGACTTTTCTGCCCAGGCTAGCTTTCAACTATGATCTTCCAGTTCTCAACCTCCTGAGTATCTAGAATTAGGAGTATGAATCATCAGAGCCCAGCTTCATATAAATATTTTTTAATTCAGCTTTGTCCTTTTCTCATTCTCTGGTCAGATAATCTGACCCTGAGTGAGGAATGATATCCAATAATACTTATCAGAGGAGAACAATCTGATAAATACTGAATTATAGAAAATAATCACTAGTAGAGAAGACAGTTAAGACAGAGAGAATACATATTGATAAGGTCTTCTAATATTAATGCATTCATTCAGTGGGCTTTAAAATCATGGTACAAACACTTAGCCAGCATGTGAATGAGCATAGCATCCATAACAGTCTTCAAGACCACCCTTATTTAGCTATTTAGTCACAACAGCACTTACTACTGCTTCCTCTTTGAATCAGAAATTTTGTCAACTCTTCAGAGAAATGGTAAAGTAGTAATAAATTAGTATTATAATAAAATGGTAAGAAGCGTTTTCAAAGAAAAATCTGTTTACCCATAAAAAATAAATAATGCAGTATTCAGACATATAAACTATACTCCTTTATTGAAGTAGAAAGTTAAAAACTATATAATTACAAATCCAATTAATTTTTAATTCTGTCTCATGCTTGAGTAATGATGTGATATCAGATTTTATTGATATCTCTTTGAGCCAAAGAAAATAATTCACATGACATATGGCAAGCACTTAAAAACTAATACTGGGCAAAAGGGCTCCTCTCTCTGCCTAGATGATGAAAAGATGTTCTAATCCCTAAAATAAGGAGAGAAAAGGCCAGAAAGGGAGAGATGCTCTGAACAAGATCAAGATTTTACAAAATGTTGCAAGGACATTGGAATCCTTATGGTAGTAAAATACAGGAAAGATATTCTGAATTGAAAGAATGTCTCAATCTTACTATTTAGATCCAGCCTTTTCTGAAGAATGCAGAAGGGGTATCTGAAGGAAAGGGAAGGAAACAGAAAGCTGCAGAAGCTTTCCACAGCATTTAGGCAAGGAATCAGTAACTCTCGTAGTTATGGAGATCATTTATAAGTTATATGAAATAATGAACTTCAGAATTTATTTGCCTTCTTCTAACTATGGAAATAAACATCGTTATTTCAGGAGAAAAAAACCTAACAGGCTGGAAATGTGACCCATAGGTAAACTCCCTTCCTCGCAAGTCCAAGACTCTGTATTCACACCCCAGTGCTGTCAAACACAAAACGAAAAACAAAGTTCACATGGTAATAATATACTTATTTTTACAATGATCTTTCCAAGCTGTTCCTACCTTGATTCTTAAGCCATGAACTTATAAACATAAATAATATTCAAAACATTGGATTAAAATAGAGTAATAAGGACCACAATTTCCACAAGTGTTTAAAATGTAATTTCATTAATTTATAATTATGGATGTGAAGACTTTACAAGACATACAACATAATACTAAAGGTACTGAGGTAGATAGAGGAAAATAGCAAAGAAAGTATATAGAATAGCCGAGTATGTGGAAGTATTTGTTACATTAAAATCTATTAGCCTATCTACAGTCAACCTTTTACTCATGTATGTTTTGGTAGTAATGTGCAAAGATTATTTGGGAATTGTCATAGTAACTTACAGGTATCTTCCAAATGGAATGTTTCATTATACAAAATAATCAGACTGGTATATTTTAATGTCAATCTTCTCTAAAAAGTTTTGAAGCATTAGGCAACAGTTAAGGTCACTTTGTCAGATTAAAATGTGCTCCAAATTCAAATTTGCATTTGAAAGAGCAAATCTTTATCATCAGGAAGAGCTGCCAGTTGTGTTTCTTATAATCAACAGCTCATTCCACTTATTTTCTTGAAAATGTCTGATAAATATCCAACTGTGAATAAAGTTTGTCAGTCATTTTCCCATGGAAAAATGAACTGATTTCCATGAAAACTGCAACTAGTTCAACTCATGATCCAAAATCTGCACAAGTCATTATTTCCCAGGAAACTATCATGTTTGACAATGCAGCACAAGTACTTTCTGTTTCTGCTTCTCTTTTCATGACATAGCATATATAAAATGCAAGACGTTGTGAGTTGAAATTTTTTAATGGATTATTTTTTTGCTTCATCAAACATCTTTTAAGGAAAGTTACTTTTAAACCATCAAGAGGTGATGGTTAATAACTATTATGATATGGAACTACTATCTTGCTTCATACGAAGATGCTAGAAGCTAGTAACTCAAGCCATTATTGCTATTACAGTACAATATGTCAATAGATTCAATAAAAGAAAAATAACATATTAGTATATTTTATAAAGATAGATTTGACTCTAACAATAAGTCTGAAGGGATGTCAACAGGAATAGAATAGTTTACATAACTATACAACTAAATTAATACCAATTACATTCCATTAGTGGAACTTTTTTGTGAGATATGATTAACTTAGTTCCTTAGAGTTCTGCTATGACAGAACTCTTTTTTTTTTTTTTTGTCAGTCATGGGGCCTGAACTCTGGGCTTGGGCACTGATCCTCAGCAATTTAGCTCAAGGCTAGCACTCTACCACTTGAGCCATAGCACCACCTCCAGCTTTTTTCTGCATATGTGGTGCTGAGGAATCGAACCCAGAGCCTCATGCATGCAAGGCAAGCACTCTACCACTAACCCACCTTCCCAGCCATAGTGGAACTTTTTAAGAAGCTAGCAGTTGTAACTTTAATGGTCCAGAAAATCAGAGAAACTAAAAGGCAAGTGTTTATAGACCAGTTGATGAGCGCTAGTGTTCTGAAACTGGTCCTGGAAGCAAGACAAATAAGACTGGAGCCAACATCAAATATAGTGAAAACAGGGGTTATACTATGGGGGAGGGACATACAAAGCACAAAAAAAATCACATGGTACATTATAAATACATTAGAAACAATAGCAAGAAAGAAAAAAAACACTTGTGTCCTTATCTTGGGGTTCATTTCGCTTAACATCATCTTATCTGACCTTTTCTGCTCATCTCAGACATATACTATTTATTATTGCAAATAAGGGAAACCATGGGACCTATATTTCTTTGGGTCTGGCTTACATCACTTAACATAATTTTAAAAAGGGATACAGGTTGACCCATTGCAACAATGAGATGTACGCTATGTCGAAAACAATGAGAAAACAATGAGACACTACATCGAAAAACGAACTTTACAATTTAGGTGGGGCGGGGGGAGTGTAGTTGTGGAATGGGAGGGAAGGGATGGTAAGGGGAAAAACAGAGGAGACAACAATGCTTGATAAGAAATGTACTCATGGGCTGGGAAGGTGGTTCAGTGGTAGAGCGCTTGCCTTGCATGCATGAGGCCCTGGGTTCGATTCCTCAGCACCACATAAGCAAAAAGAAAAAAGCCAGAAGTGGCGCTGTGGCTCAAGTGGTAGAGCGCTCAAGCTCTTCAGCTTAAGCTGAAGAGCTGAGGGACAGCGCCCAGGCCCAGAGTTCAGGCTCCACAACCGGACCGCCCCCCCCCCAAAATGTACTCATTATCTTGCTCATGTAATTGTAACCCCTCTGTACAGTATTTTCACAATAAAAAATTATTTAAAAAATAAAATAAAAATAAATAAAAGGCAAGACGTGCAAAAATAAATAAATTACTTTAGCATAAAAAAATAACACTGGAGCATGCAAAGCAAAGGGCACAAGAACACAGATTAGGCAGATACTCAAGCAGAGGCTGTAGCTTGAAGGAAACTGAAGAGAATCTGACTTTACATGGCACAACAGTTCTTTAACCTGACAAAAACCATCTGTCTGTCTATTTAAAATGAGAGAATGACATTAAAGATATAGGGAGAAAGACAACGGGTTAAGAAGTCAAATCCCAGCTTCAGTTCCCATTTCATTGTATCTTAGAAGCAAAAAGGGATATTAATATTCATTGAGCAAGGGTAATGATGAAGCTCTGGGCTACGCATTTGACTTATCCTTTTCTCATCCAATTCAACTTTGACTAGATATATCTCCAATCTCTTACCCTTAGTTTCTAAACCTACAAAATGCAAAGAGTAATAATTAACATATTTTATTTACATTATGGGCTATGTGTATAAAACAATATGTAAATACTCTATGTTGGCTGAATATTCATTTAAAAATATTATCAGTATAGCTAAACCCGTTTAAGTTGTAGATCTGTATGCTTCTCATCATCTGAATCTCTTATAAGTGTCACCAAACCAGAGCTAAAAAGACAATATGACATTCTACAGAGCCAGGAATTCTGATTGCAGTTACAATGAATTTTGTGGCTTAGATTTTTTTTTTCACATTCTACTCATTCCAGCTTTTCTTCGTCATTTCAATTTACAAATTCACCCTTCTAAATCCATTAGAATCATCTTGCAAAGGAAAAGCTCTCCTGTTTCTTGGCAGCCTCTCAGGGCCACTGAACTATTGCTGTGACACACACCACCTGAGGAGTCATTTCACGCAATCTCATGTTACTCAACAGGAAATCAAGATGATTACAGATCTTTGAAAACTTGGGAAGAACTGATAAGCATGATGCAACAGTCTAATTAATTAAACTAGCCAAGAGATTTGATGAGCAACATGATCTTATCATGGAAGAATGTTGCAACTGTTTTACACATTTTTAAAAAATCGCATTTGAATTGTTTCACTATTGTTCACTCAGCTTTTAAGTGTGTACTATTTCGGCTTAGTTATCTGCTGTTCAGAAGTCAAAATATATATAAAGGAATAATGTCTGATATGCATTCTTTGAAGCGCATGAATTTTAAAGTGAATTGCTAAAGTTGTTATGCAATTCATTAAGCTGATTGAAACTGTGAACTCACAAGAGAGGCACCATAATTTATATTTGCAAATAATGGCTCTAGCATCCTGGTAGATTTACAGAAAATGCTTTGAGTAATCTTACTGAACACAAAATAGCTCAGTTCCAAACAATCCCACCTACATTCACTTTTTTAACACCCAAATTCCCCAAGCTCATTACTTACCTCTGGTATACAAGCTCCTGTGAAGCCAAACAGGCCATTGGCATTGTCACTTTTTTGTATGATTAGTCTTGCTGTGCTGTTTTCTTCAGAAATATAAGCTCCTCCATACACGGAGACTATTTTAAGAATAAATATTTCCTCTCCCTCCTCTTCATTGTCATCTCTTGCAGAAACAATGAATGATTTCTCAGTCTCTCCCTGTCTGAATTCCAGATATCCAGAAACAGGGTGTAAATCATTCTTTGCAGGCATAGCATGAAGTTCGTGAATTTCTTCAAGGGTCAGTTTACGTTCATAGGCCCTCACGTCCTGCATCAGACCTGAAAATCTATCATTGCCATTCATTCCTGCCCCAATTCTCAGTATTCCAGGGCCTGAAAATAGAAAGGGGTTGAAAAGCTAAAATCGTATTCTAAATTACAACTCTAATTCAGAAAACAAGTGACTTTACTGGAAAATATTCTTGATATGTAAACCTTTTTCAAACTTAGCATATAATCAAATAATATTTATCTCTTATTTTTAAAATGCATCTTCAATCATGGAGATTTATGATATTTTATCTTATAGGAATTAGTAACTTTGAATGATGATGTCCTTAAAAGTAACTTCTATCAGTCTGCAGCAAACATTTCTATACAGAAAAATCAGAGCTAAACATGAACATACATATATACATACACATAGCCCAAATATCTGTGTGTTTGAGCAAATATTTCTTCTATGACATCTTTAAATTTATTTTTCCATCTGAAAATCGAGTGATTTAATTGAGTTATAATTTTAAAACTCTTTATGAACTTCAAAGCTTGATATCTTAGATACTCATCTTGAATTAATGAGGTGAAAACTCAGGCAGAAAACAAAAACAGCTTTGTGGGCCAAATCTACTTCTTTATCCAAACAATCAAGGAATGGCTATACAAACAAAAATAGTTCTTCCAAAAAACATCACAAATGTTTGGGACTTTTAAAGAAATAATTATGTTTCAATAGCATCCCTTTTCAGTTCTTCATCCCTTCACTAGTTCTTTTCATCTTCAATAACTCAGCTGAGATAGTCAAATGAGATCTTGGTAGTGATTCTAGGAAATTACATAGCACATGCCTCCTATCAGTAATCTGAATGGAGTCAGTCCTACAAGTTTTGACCAAAGTAAATCTTGTAGGGCCATCCCCAAGTATTAGGCACATTATTAACTCTTCTACTCATGCCTACTAGAGACTAACTTACTATTCAGCAAACAAGAAACATTTCTTCATTGCAAATCCACATTGACTGGGTAATCCCGCAATACTTTCTCTCCTATTGACTGATCTGGCAACTACAATGATGGAAGTTTCTCTATCCATCATAAAATTACATTCTGCTGTAACAACTAAGTGACTAGGGGCCTAGCCTCCAGGAATAATTTTGCTTCTATGATATACTTATAGGAATATTAACCTTGGTATCCAAAGCTTAAATTCAAGTCTTGGTTTCTCTGAAAACGATGCTGGCTAATTTATATAGTGCTTTTGACCTTTATTTTCTACTTATACTCTGTTAATCCTATAATCTTTTTTTGGCCGGTTGTGGGGCTTGAACTCTGGGCCTGAGCTCTTCAGCTCAAGAGGAGCACTCTACCACTTTGATCCACAAAACTTCCAGTTTTCTAGTGATTAATTGGAGATAAGAGTCTCACAGACTTTCCTGCCTGGACTAGCTTTGAACCACGATCCTCAGATCTCAGCCTCCTGAGTAGCTAAGATTACAGGCGTGAGCCACAGGTGCCCGTCATTCTTAAATATGATTTATGTTTCTCCTGATTCCTTTTCAACCTATGTCCGTCATCCTCCACTTTCACCAAGACTGAACTAGTAGCAGTTTCCCACCTACAAGAGGCAGATTTACATTTCTGCACCTTTGCTCAATCCTCTACTGAAATACTTTCTCTAGCCCTTTTGCTGTTCACAAGAGGGAGTAAGCATTTCTTCTTCACAATTGGATTTCCTTCCTACATGTTTTGTAGTGATCTGTTAAACATCTCTCTCTCCTAAAGCCTATTTCTGACTCCTCAAGAGCAAATACATTATGTGCTTCATTTCTGCACAGAACTTAAGATGGTCTTAGAGGGCACATAGCCTTACCAAAAGAAATGTAACTAACACAAAGGTAGAAAATTTTAAGTATCTTCTATCTCTTAAAAAAATCAAAATTTCAAGTGAAGATTTTAGAACTTTCATACTTCAATGGTCTAGTTGTGGTAATGATACTCACTCACCATCAGTAATAGCTTCTCCTTTGAGACTCTTGATTCCTTTGGGCATTGCATTTCCATCCATGTAAAATTCAATTATACCATCATCCAGGATAATTAGAAGATGAAGCCAAATGCCTTCTTCTAAATATTTCATGACTGTTGTCTTGGCAATGTAGGTAGCATTGGATCCTGAAGTTTTGTAATGAAGGGCAAGTGTCACATGGGATTCATTCGTTTGGATTTTTACCCCATAGTAAATACCCCCATTACCATCATCCTTTGCTAGAATAAATCCACTTGTATTGGCATTGGGCATTACCCAGGCAGAAAACGTAAAGTTTGCAATTGTGCTATTCCTGGAGGGGTGGTATTTTGGATTAACAGTTCCAAATGCACCTTCGAGTCCACTGAAGTACAAAGCATCTGTTCCGCTGTGGTGGCGCCGCATGTGTGGCTGTGAAGGCACAGTGCTGGGGAAAATTCCAACCAGTAAAAAATCTATCATTGGTGGCAAACCAGCAGTGAATGCTCTGGACAGGATTTCCCAGCCTACTCTTACATCACCAAAGATACCCTGTTGCCTCAAAACAGTGAAGTTGGTAATGTATGACAGATCATCTTCAGAGAGGAAATCCTCAGCCACTTCTCTCTCTAAACACTCTGGCTCCAAGATGAAAATTCCAAAGGGATCATCATTGAATGGAATCATTACTATCACCTGAAGGTTGGCTTCTGCTAATTGGCCCCCAGGACCTGGAGACCCACCTGTAGTAGGAAAATTTATAATGAGGGAGAAAAAAATTATAACAGAATTTAAGTGCATTCTAGTATAAGATTGTACAAAAGAAAAGCAGACCAAATTCTGGTTAGAAATGTATTCATTTTCAATGAATAGTTATATCATTATACAGCTTCCACTACATTTGGGCCAAAATATCAAATGACATGGGTTCAGCATACTTTTATTCATAATTAGTCAAGCCTGATTGTTCAGGCTTGAGAGAGGTTATATTCCCATGCTTAAAACAAAATGTGGGCAGAAAATTGATTGATAAATTATGGCACAAATACAAAGTTTTGATCACCATAAAAGTGTACTGCTGACTTCCATTAATGTTTTCTTGGAAACTCTGTATTTGGTATATACAAAGTCTACTGTCAATTTTCAGGATTAATAAATCTTCCATCTATAAAACTACACCTACCGAAGACCACAAAATGAGTATTAAAACTAATATTTTGGGGCTGGGGGTGCAAGGTAGTGTTAAGGCATTTGCTTATACAAGGCACTGAGCTTCATCGCAGCATAAATACATATGTATGTATATATTTATATTTTTACATAAATATATATTTACACTTATATAAATATACATTACATACTATATATTTATGTAAGAATATAAATATATTATATACATAAATATATTTCATATATTTGTATTTCTTATATTTATATATAAATACATGAATAAATAATAAAGATGACTATGGTAACACACAGAGCTAGAAGCAGGAGGCTCATGAGTTGAAGGACTGACTGTGATACACAGGGAGATTGACTCAAGAAAACAAGAGGGTTATGCTAGCTTCACAAAAGGAGTTTTGTAGTGATCTTTCAATTTCATTGAAGAGTTTGACGAGTACTGGAGGATATTCTTGGGAGAGGTCTCAATGTCTCAATAGCTATGTGCAAATGATTATATAAAATGATGCATTTCAAAATAAACTCCAAGAAATGGAAACAAGCATTTTTATTGTACTGTTTGTGCTTCTTTTCTCTCTCTCCTTCTTTCTTTTTTCTTTTCTTTCTTTTGTCTTTGGTTTATTCCCTTTTGTTGCTGTTTTTTATTTCTGTACTCTTTTTCTTGAATATGTTTATCTGCTTTGAAGAGAAGAGGGGGAAGCACAGAAACAATGGGACAAAGGTTGAACTAATGCATCAGTGCTACTCACTAGACACTATATTGGAAATGAACTATACATCTTGGGGGTTGGCAGGTCAGAAGGGGAGAAAATGAAGGAGGAGGTGACAATGTTCAAAAAGAAATGTAACAATTCTGGACAAGAAATGTACTCATTACCTTACTGGTGTAACTATAACCTCTCTGTACAGTATCTTTACAAAAAAAACAAATAAATAAGTCTATATAAAAAAGAAATGTACTCATTACCTGGCTTATTTAACTCTAACCCCTCTATATATTACCTTTACAATAAAATTTTAAAAAAGGAAGGAAGGAAGGAAGCAAGGAAAGAACAAAGGTAGGAAGGAAAGAAAGAAAGAGAGAGAGAAAAAGAAAGAAAGAGGAAAGGAGGGAGGAAAGGAAGGGGAAAAGAAGGAAGGAAGGAAGGAAAGAAGGAAGGAAGGTAGTATCACTCAGTGACTTTATTACAAGGTCCTAGGTTTGATCCCAGGACCACAAAAATATAAAATAAAACAAAAATGCCAGATACCAGGGGCTCACATCTGTAATCCTAGCTACTCAGGAGGCTGAGATGTTAGGATCACAGCTCAAAGCCAGCTCAGGGAGAAAAGTCTGTGAGACTCTTGTCTCCAATTAAGTACCCAATATGTCAGAAGTGGAGCTGTAGATCAAGTAGTAGAGCACTAATCTTGACAAAGAAAGCTCAGGGACAGTGCCCAGGCCCTGAGTTCAAACCCCAGAACCAGCATAGAGAAATAAATAGAGGAACATTTATACTAAGAAAGATGTTTTGACATTTTAAATCAGAAAATCAGGAAATATCCCTTCATAAATTAGATTTTTCCTTACAATTCAAAGTATAAAATATAAAATTTTATGGTAAAATAAAAATTAGAAGCTGGGAAATGCTGGCTCATTTCTGTAATCCTAACTGCTGGTTCAAAGTCAACCCAGCCAGGAAAGTCTGTAAGATTCCTATTGCCAATTAATCACCAAAAAGTCAGAAGTAGAGCTGTGGTTCAAATGGTAGAGAATAAGCCTTGAGTGAAAAAAAGCTCAGTGACAAGGCCCAACCCTGAGTTCAAACTCCAGGACTAGCACGTAGGCGTGCGCAAACACACACACACACACACACACACACACACACACACACACATTAGAAGAATCTAGCACCTGAAATATTCACAAGCTTCAGGATATAAAATTCATTGAATTCTGGAATTTTATCTGGAAAGGCATGAATAATTATTGGCTTTGCTCCTTCTCCATCCATAATGTTAACAGTTCCTGAGGTTTCATAAAACTCCTGTCCAGGGTGCAGAACAGAATCATTCTGAAACAGCTGCCAGGCCAGAGAAACATCACCAAAGTGTCCACGATCCCTCAAAATCCTGAAGAATGAATTGAATACAATTGGTTATTTATGGAAAATGTGTACATACTATGTATATATCTGTATATACTATACTATATATGTATATCCTATACTATGTATATGCATACTATGCTTTACTAATTTCTGTGTTATCTCAAAAATGTACTTACTCTCTTTACCATCTTTTGATGAACTAGTCAGCAGTCTTACTAAGCAACCTATACAACTACATGGATAGAGAAGAACGAGGTAGTGCTTTTAAATAAAAAAAATAGCCATCCTAAAAGCATCAGTCTCCAATGCCCAAGTAAAAAAATAAATTCTTTTTTTAATGGAGGCGGTATCATTTATTTAATTAATACCAATCATCAGACATTTACATTGTTTTCCATCTATTGTTGTCACTAATTTAACACACATACACACACAGAAAACAGAACAAAACAACCCCTCACCCCCACCCCCCACAAACCTTAATGTCCTTGTTGCTTGGCATGGTAAGAATAAATGGATAAATTTATAGAAGCTTCTATAAACATGTGACAAAAGGGCATGGCGCATTTTGAAATTTTTCTTCTTGTTAATACTTGGGTTGGAACTCTTGCTCCACCACTTGAGCCCTACCTCTAGCATGTTTTACTTTGTTTTTCATGTAGGGTTTCAAAGTTTTGTCCAAGGGTAGCCTGAACCCTTACCTTACATTCACCCCCTGCATAGCTCAGAGATTATACATGTACACCTCTATGCCTTCTGGCAGCACTGGTTTTGATAGATACTGCCAATACTCCAAAAGGGATTGCAATATATTCATGTTTCAGCTAGCAAATGTTTGTAGCTCTTTCCTTATATCTCCAGCCAATTCAGCCTTTGAATTTTATTGTAATAGGTAAAAAATTGATATCTCATTTTATATTTTTGTTCGTCTTTTTGTTAATAATATATTTTTTATTTTAAAGATACTGTAGAGGGAGGTTATAGTTACATGAGTAAGGTATCGAGCTTTGTTACCTCCTCGGTAGTGGAAAAAATAAATTCTAAGCCCAACTTTACAACATTTTGATATTAACTGCAATTTTTTTTCAAGATCAAAAGTACATGATGAGAGTAATCACACATCTGAGAATGGTGGTGCGGAAAAGTAGATAATCCAAGTTTCTCAGCCTTGCCCAAGATAGAAGCTGGAGTGCGAAGAGATAGGAGAATAATTTATCAGCTAAGTCGTTGCTTCTCTCATTTTGGTTAAGACTAATGCCAATAGCAGAGATAATGTTTACCATTCATTAGGCTGAGAACTTTAAAATGCTTCAATTCTTGACCTATTTTTATTCTTTAAACATGAATAGTACTTCAAATGCTTGTATACTTAATGATTTTATCCCTTATTCTAGTAAGTTTCTACTTTCTATATCCAAGTATACTTACCAAAATGCATTAGTCTTTCCTTCTTCTACTGTTTTGTCAATAGGCTCCAGGGAAAAAATACCATTTGGGTCATCATTGGCTTCAATTATGACTGTAGCTATTCCATACTGATATATTACAGTATCACCTAAATTAAGAATGAAAAGGTTAAAATATTTTTAAGTAGCTTACTCGCTTTTACTTCAACAAAATTATTTTATCTGTAACAATTTCTTTCATTTAAATTTTAGGAAGTTAAATAAAAATAAAAGTATGCATGTATTTATATACAAGTACACACAATCCCTTATTACTATTTGACTAAAAAGACCAAAAACAATAAGCATATTTAGTGCCCAGGTCCTACTTAACTAAAGAGCATTTTTCACTATAAGGAAACTTCTTGAAAAATTGCTGATTTCAGATTTGTGACAATAAATTACAAAATGAACTTGGAATTGCTTACTGTCACCAAAAGGAGGAAAAAGGTCAAGGAATAATATTTCTACTAAATCAAATGGAATAGGATACAAGTTGTCACATGGACAATGTCACCATGAAAATAAATTATAGTACTGAAAAATTACCCATTGCATTGGAAAGAAATTATGAGTCTATGTTGATGAATATATCAGTGGAAGAAATGGAAAGTTTTATATCGTTTTAATAACAACACACAAAATAAAAGGTATGAAGAATCCTTCAGGTCTTGACTTTAATTATAGTCAATATGACTCTCATAATGAAGGGACAAATCAAAATCAGGTTATGATTCAAGATATTATAAGACACAGATTCACTTCTATGAATTCCCACCAATGCTGCAAAACCTTATTCTAATACTGAGGAGCTACCAAGTAAATTCAAAATGAGGAACATTCTAGCTTGCTGTCTTTTGTATGTTGAAATAATAAAGGTCAAGGAAAGAGTGAGGAATTACTAAAGATTAAAGGATCAGAAAGACATTACAGGGCTGGGAAGGTGGCTCAGTGGTAGAGCGCTTGCCTTGCATGCACGAGGCCCTGGGTTCGATTCCCCAGCACCACATAAGCAAAAAGAAAAAAAAAAGCCAGAAGTGGCACTGTGGCACAAGTGGTAGAGTGCTATTACTTTGAGCTGAAGAGTTGAGGGACAGCGCCCAGGCCCAGAGTTCAGGCCCCATGACCGGACCCAAAAAAAAAAAAAAAGACATTACAAATAAACTTAATGCACAAATGAGAAAAATATCATTTTGCTAGAAAGATATTTGGATGTTTTCTTCAGTATGGACAAGTGGAGCACTCTGACTATAATATGAAGCAATAATTGCACTGATGTTATCTTCCCGGCTTTCATGGTTAAGGGAACATTCTTGTTTGAAGGAAATACACTAACATTAGTGTTAATAGGGACACTCTTTTCTCTAACTTTCAGCATTTCCAATTTAATCAAGTTGGGACGAAAACATTGTCAGGACACTAACAGTGGAATTCTGCTGCATTTATAATATGGAAGAACAGCACAACGCTTTCACTTAAAGACTGCCTTTTATTTTGGCTATAGTTCTAGAAAATTACAAACTGCCAGTTGGAGTTAACTGCCTACAGAATTAAGCTTTCCAATCACTGTGCCAGACCCCTGCTTGGAGGAAAATTAAAACAAAACTGCTATCAGATAATGGTCCTTTGGAGAATTAGGAAAGGCTTAGTTTGGCCATAGCCCCCAAACCCATTGCTTTTGGCTATAATATTATACTCCTTACAAATCAGAATGTTCTTTTTGTCCTATCTGAACACAAGCTCAAAGTTTAAACAATAGCATATGTGCTACATGTTGTGGTTTGGATGTAAAATGCACCTCCAAAAACCATGTACTTATAATTTGATAGTAAATTGGGATATGACAGAAACTAGTTGAAGGGAATGGGTCTTTGGAGGCATGCCTCTGGTACTACATCTTTTCTTGAGGCCTCTGCTCTGTCACTCTGCTTTCTGGTCACTACGAGTTTTCTATTGTCAGTGTCGCTTGCATGGGTGCTCTTTTTAACCACAGAGCCAGAAACAACAGGGCCAAGTAACTAATGATTAAAACCACTAAAACTATGAGTGAAAATAACTCTTTTTTAAGTTGATTTTCTCGGTATTCAGGACATGAAGTGGCACTGTGACTCAAGTGGTAGAGTGCTTGCTTTTAGCTGAAGAGCTCAGGGAGAGTGCCCAGGCCCAGAGTTCAAGCCCCATGACCAACAACAACAACAACAAACCAACAAAGTTGTGCTGGTAGCCTTAGTATGGCTATGTTTGTGATCTTTTGGGTAAATGCCCAAAAGTGGGATTGCTGAGTCATAGGGGACCTCTATGTGGAGTCTTTTGAGGAACCTCCATACTGCTTTCCAAAGTGGTTGAACAAGTTTAAACTCCCACCAACAATGCAGTAGGGTTCCCTTCTGGCCACATCCCCTCCAGCATTTGTTGTTATTAGATTGAGGTGGAATCTCAATGGTCTTGTGATTTGCATTTCTTTTATGGCTAGAGTGGTTGAGCATTTCTTCATGTGTCTATTAGCCATTCTTATTTCCTCTTCAGAGAAGTTTCTCTTTAAGTCTTTAGCCCACTTACTTATTGGACAGTTGTTTCTTTGAGGATTTGTTGTTGGAGGATTTAATTTTTTGAGTTCCAAGTATATTTTACATATGAGACCCTTGTCCATTGTATGGCTAGTGAAGATCAAGGCTACCAGCACAACTTTGTTTATTGCAGCATTATGTACCATAGCTAAGATATGGAAACAACCCAGATGCCTCTCAATAGATGAATGGATCAAGAAAATGTGGTATATATACACAATGGAATTCTATGCCTCCATCAGAAAGAATGGCATTGCCCATTTGTTAGGAATTGGAAAGACTTGAAAAAAATTATATTAAGTGAAGTAAGCCAGGCCCAAAGAAACATAGGTCCCATGGTTTCCCTTATTTGTAATAACTAGTACATGTGTAGGACAAGCAGAAAAGGCCAAAAGCTATGTACATATGAACATATAAGATGGTGTTAAGCAAAATGAACCCAGTTCATGCCTACACTGTTTATGTTTCCTACTGTCAGTGGGAGGACAGATTCATTTTACTATGTTCAGCTTTCTCTGTGGAGATGGGGTTAACTAGCGTTGTTTTTGTTGTTTAGGGTAGCCTGAAACAACAATCCTCCTAATCTCAGCCTCTCAAATAATTAGGTGTGCCCCACCATGTCCAGATACTCATTGTAATAGCTCTCATGAACTTTCTGCCTGGGCAGACCTCAAACTACGGTCCTCCTACCCACCTCCCAAGTAGTTAACATTTTAGGAGTCACCTGGCTCAACATCATTCCACAAAGGTAACAGAACAACTGTGCTTTAAAATAGCCACAGAAGACAGTAAAGCACTACCTTGATCCCACTATTAATGTCATCTCAGTAAAGTGCAGAAACAGCAGATCTGCCCTCCCAACAGTAAATACTCACCTGTTGAATTAAAGAGCATTATATAAAAGGGCTCCTCTGTTTCTGGAATGCCATCTTCATTAATATATACAGATAGGCTCTGCTCTCTACTTCCAGGCTCAAAAGTAAGGACTCCTCCTTTTCCAGCAAGAACAAAGTCTCCCTCTTTTTCGGTAGCCTTTCCATCCCTTGTAGCATATTGGACAGTGCAGGTAACATCTACAGATCCATTCCTGAGAACTGTAAAGTTGGCGGTCTCACCTTCCTGAACCCTTACCACTCGAGGCTCTGAAAAATTCACCGAGAAGAAACACATAAGCCTTTCACATTCAACAAACACATATTCAGGTCACTCTCATTTATCTCTGCCACCCAGGCATGATAAATACACTACATCAGCTCCATTCCCAACTCTGAACCAGGGCCTTTCTTAACACATTGACAATGGTCTTCTTCTTGCCTTCATATCTACAAGATCCCTTGTTTTCGACACCCAATTTGTCAATAAATTATATACCCCTTGAAATTCTTTGACCATTCATTTGTAAGTCTTCTTTTGAAGTTGAAGCTGTAAGTTGTTAGACAACCAATGCAACTATCTTATGTTTTATTTTGGCCACAGCAGTTGACAGGCATCTGAGCATAAGATGAATACAAAAAGTGTCTATTCATTGAAGCTTAAGAACAGGTATCAATAAAACTCAAGAGATTTTAAAGGTTCCTACTTCAGTATATGGACCTTTATAGGGAATTTACCAAAAACAATTAAGGAGGGTTTAGACATCAATTAAGATGCATAAATAAAAGTAAAGGATGACCATTCTAGAAAGTAGTAAAGTAACAAATAAAAGATTCTTGATTCACATGCCTATTCACATGTCTTTTTCTTTTTTAAAAAAAGTTTTTTATTGTGAAAATACTGTACAGATGGGTTACAATCACATGAGCAAGGTAATGAGTACATTTCTTATCAAGCATTGTTGCCTCCTCCTTTGTTTTCCCCTATTATCCCTTCCCTCCCATCTCCACAACTACATTCCCCCCTCCCACCCACCCCCCACGCTTAAATTGTAAAGTTTGTCTTTTGAACATAGCAAGACCGTCTTTTTCTACATGAAAAGAAAATATCTTGAAATTATAAAGAAGATCAAACATAGAGCTCACAAAACAATATTCAGGTTATTTTTTGTGTGTTTCACATTATACTTCGAACAGATTAAGAATCACGAAAATATATTAAGCAAGCAGCAATTATACTTCACTGAAAGATTCAGTTGAACATAAACATACATACTTTCGTTAAGATGTAAGCTCAGTCAAATATGACAGCAATACCACCTGCAAAGTAGATGGGGTCATCATTTCCTCCAATCCTCAGGGTGGCAGTCCTTCTGTTCCCCACTTGAGCTCCCCCAGTGGCATTAAGCAAGATAATGGTAAATTCTTCCATTTCCTCAGGAATCTTTTGGAAAATTATACATATTAAGTCAAGTGAATTACCCATATAATTATACTATATATACCAAAATCAATATACTTAAAACAAAAAAATGAACTCTTTTAGGAATGTAATGTTGGAGCAACCTACTAATGGTTCATGCCTGTAATTCTGGTTATTCAGAAGGCTGAGATCCAAAGGTTCTTGGTCAAAGCCAACTAAGCAGAAAAGGTCATGAGACTCTATCTCCAAAATAAACAGCAAAAAGCAGAGCTGGAGGCACGGCCCAAGCAATAGGAAACCTACCAAGTAATAAGCAGAAGACTCTAAGTTCAATCTGCAGAAATACAGAAAAATGAATGCTAATATTCACTTCCATTTCCAAGGCAGACACTTAGTCAAAGAATTCTTCTAAAACTAAAGTATTCTTAGCCAAACACCGGTGATCCTCCTACTCAGGGTGCTGAGATCTAAGGATCACAGTTTCAAGCCAGCCAGGCTAGAAAAATCTGTAAGATTACCCACCAAAAAAAGCAAGCAATGAAGTTGTGGTTTATGTGGTAGAGCCCTAGCTTTGAGTAAATAATAGCTCAGGGACAGTGCTCTGGCCCTTAATTCAAGCTCCAGGACAAGCACAAAAATAAAATAAAGACTAAACTATTCTTAAATTACTCAGACCCTCTCAAAAACATACTATAAGATGCAGTAATCCAAAAGGCTAATGAGAAAGTGTAATGGGAACATATTTTGCCTTAAAGAAGGTAAAAATAAGCCAGGTGCTGGTAGCTCACATCCTAGCTACTCAGGAGGATGAAATCTGAAGATCATGGTGCAAAGCCAGCCCAGGCAGGAAAGCCCATAAGACTCTTATGTCCAATAAACTACTCAGAATAAGCAGGAAATGGAGCTATTCTCAAGTGGTAGAGCACTAACCTTGAACCAAAGAAGCTCAGGAATAGTGCCCAGGCCTTGAGTTCAAGCCTCAGGACCAGCATAAAACCAAACAAAACCAAAAAAGAAGGCAAAAATAAACATGCTACATGGCTTACATTATTTCCATGAAAATAGGAAAAATATTGTCTATAAGAAAAAATAATTAGGTGACACACTTAGAACATAATTCATAGTAAGCAACAGACCCAGATCCAGACCTCTAAGAAACTTCACAAGATTTCACATGAAAGTCATGCAGACCTTATTTCCATGTCCTAGCAAGATGAGATTCCCACATCTTATCTAGTGAGCTAGTCCTCTCCTCGCTACATTTTTGTCTCATGAGGAAGAAAGAGCCTTCACAGCTCTTCTCAGCACAGCCCTCTGAGAAGGGTTTGGTTTCCAGTGTTATTAAGTTCTTTCTCTTGTATCAGTAAGATGAGGGACTATGTTGGGCCTATTACTCTATGGCCAAGGGTTCTAGTTCTTAGCATCAACCACAGGAAACACAGGAAATGACTTCACTTCAAAGACAAGCCAAATGCTTAAGCATCCCCCAAACTACTACTATCAGTTCCAACAGTGAAATATACTTTCAAGGAAAGCCAAAACAATGTTACTTTGGTCAAATATTGAGCTTTTGATCAGATACTTTCATCACAAAACACTACCAGATATTTAATTTTTTATTAAAAATAATGACTGAAGCAGGAATATAGTTCACTGATAAGATACTTGCCTAGCATGCACATGACTAAAGACAATTCTCAACACCCAAGATAAAATAAAACAAAAACAAAAGATGATTGAGCAACTACACTAAGTAAATATGTACAATATTTACCTCATCTGGAAGGGAGCAGACAGTAATATTTTTTGAAAATTCCTGATCTCCAAAGAAAATAGTCCCTTGTACAGGAAATACATCGTGTGTAAAGTCTGGACTAACCACCCACGATATATTAACATCACCAAAGTTGCCTTGATTTCTTACCACACCATAAATAGCTGAGAAATAAAAACATATAATATAGATGAATATATATTAAACTTTAAAACCAGCAAAGAATTTGCTCAAATAAACAAAAGTAAAAAACAAACTCCTTGTAATAAAACCAAATTATATTTTTAGCACATCCACTGAGGTTTATATTTTAAAAAACAGCTTATTTGTCCTTCTGTATGTATACAATTAATACAATAAAATAAATGTGCTGAATATCTCTATCAGTTTGAATTTTTTTTGTTGGTCATGGGGCCTGAACTCAGCCTGGGTGCTGTCCTTCAGCTCTTTAGCTCAAGGTTAGTGCTCTAGCACTTGGGCCATAGTGACACTTGCAGCTTTTTCTGCTTATGTGGTGCTGAGGAATCGAACCCAGGGCCTCATCCATCCAAGGCAAGCACTCTACCACTGAGCTACCTTCCCAGCCCGCAGTTTGAATTTTTTTAAGTCATCTGGGAAATCATATCTGAAGGCATTTAGAAGAAGTTTGAACTATCCACTCAGAGTGATTTTCTTGGACAGACCTGTCTTCAAATACACAAGATTATATAAACCCAGTTTGAATGTTTGAGTGTCTGAGTTGCACTGCATCTGGTGAACTGAAATCAAAATTCATCTGCAGTTATCAGTATCATCACAATGTTTAGGTAAGTATGAAGTGTTCATAGATTTATTTATAACACAGTTTTGACCATGGTTGATCAAAACAATAATAATTTTAAAAGTCAAAAGAAATTTCCAAAACAATTAAATGTTCATGTGTGCATCACACAGCTCAATTAATGTGTAGAAGTTCTCAGTCAACCCCAAATATTGTCACTTGTGTTTAAATCATTCTATGATCTGCTGAGTGTTTCCCTGGCCTTAATTTTGTGACAATCTGCCTGCCAGAAATAAATGCTGACTGTAAAGCAAAGTAGAAGTTAATGGGTTTCAGTTTTTTAAAAAGTGAAATTTTTAGATTTGTTTAAAGGCAGCATATCTTTAGCAGGAATTGTGAGGCATTCATGGGAAACCTAAGCATCCATAGTACCTCAGAGAGCTATATGCATCATGTATATTTCACTATTTTTCCTAAGTGGTGGACTCCTTGAAAACATCTACCTATGAATATCAAGGATCTATTATACTATGTAAGAAATAAAAAAGAGCAATACTAAATTTCTTTACTACATGTGGTTTCTGAAGTAGAATGGACAATTCAAAATAACTATTACAGGTGGGCGCAGATGGCTCATGTCTATTATTGTAACTGCTCAGAGGGCTGAGATGTGAGGATCAGGTTTCAATGCCAGACAAGCAGATGAATCCATGTGATTTGTGTGTACAGTTAACTAGCAAAAAAAAAAAGCACCAAACTGAAGGTTCATGTGGTAGAGCACCAGTCATGACAGAAAAAGCCAGGCAAGAATGTTAAAACCTGAATTCAAGCTCTAGTACCAGCACAAAAACAAATATATATATATATATATATATATGAAAATATATACAAATATAAAAATGTATATATACAAATATATGTATATATATATATATATATATACATAAATCAGTATTAAGGCTCCTTAAAAGACTGCACCTAGAGGTTCCCTATGATCCAGCAATCCCACTTTGGAGCGTTTACCCAAATGATCACAAAAAGCACATACTAAAGCTACCAGCACAACTACATTTATTGCAGCATTATTCACTATAGCTAAGAGATGGAACCAACCCAGATGCTCTTCAGTAGTTTAATGGATCAAGAAAATGTGATATATATATATATGCAGGAATTCTATGCCTCCATCAGAAAAAATGACATTGCCCCATTTGTTAGGAAATGGAAAGACTTGGAAAAAATTCTATTAAGGGAAGTAAGCCAGACCCAAAGAAACATAGGTCCCATGGCTTCCCTTATTTGCAGTAACTAGTATATATCTAGGATAATCTTACCAGACAAGCAGAAAATGCCAAAAGCTATGTATATATGACCATATAAGATGATGCTAAGTGTAATGAACCTCAAGATATGGACACAAGAGGTTTTTTCCTTGTAAATCTTGGTTTTAATGTACTATATGATTTTTTTGTTTCTTTTGTATGTTCTTCCCCCATAGTATAATCCCTGTTGTCACTGTATTTGATTCTGGTGCCCTGAATCTTGTATATACATTTTTTTTTCTAACTTAGGAGACGAAAGGGAATAACAAAATGCTGAAACAAGGATACAAGTTGACCCATTATAACAATGAGATGTATAAGACACTATGTTGAAAACAACCCTTGGGGTTGGGGAGGAGTTGGGGAAGTGGAGAAAGAAGGGATAGTAGGGAAAAAACAAAGTATGGGATAACAATGCTCAATAGGAAATGTCCTCATTATCTTACTCATGTAACTGTAACCCCTCTGTACAGTATCTTTACAATAAAAATATGTAAAATATATATATATTTACTAAAGATGTAAACTAAAAAATGACAACTTTCTTCTTTAGTAAATAGAAATAAAATGTAGAAAGTAAAATAAATTACCACTGTAGGTATCATCTCCTTTGCTTTCATTTATCATCACAGTTATACCATCAGAAACAAATTCTATAATCCCGTGAGGATCATCATTTTTTAGAATTGTTATGTTGACGACTGTCATGCTTCCCAGTTTGCTCTCCCTTTCACCATGGCTGCTGAGAACCACCCAATAGTGCTCGTCCAACTGTAACCAAGATGGCAAATTAGGATAGATGGAAGACTAATTTCTACAGAAAATATGCATGTATTCAATGATAATATATTTAATTTTTCATAAGCATACAAATTATTTAAAAGACAAAAGAGCTGATAGTCCTAGAAAAAAAATAGCTACCAATTAAGAAACACAAAACGTAAGCCCACATCATCCTGAAAGGAAAAAGATAAACAATGGTATAATTCTAAAGTAGGAATGAGTCATATTCATGGATGAACTAGTAGTCCTTTAAACTAGAAAAAAGTAAAGAAGAGAAATATGTAAGCTGCAGGTGCATTGAAGTGAAAACATAGCAAAGCTATATGTGGACATGCTAACATAAACATATTTGTTTCCTTTTAAAAGTGATTGTAGCCAGGCACCAGTGGCTAATGTCTGCAATACCAACTACTCAGGAGGCTGAGATCTGAGGATCATGGTTTAAAGCCAGCCTGGGCAGGAAAGTCCATGGAAATGGAAATGTGGCTCAAATGGTCAAGTGCTAGCTTTGAACAAAATAGCTCAAGAACAGTGTCCAGGGCCTGAGTTCAAGTCCATGAACTAGTACAAAAAAAAATTGTGTAGTTAACTTTCAGTTCAAAACCACATCACTAAAATTTCCATTAAAACAGCTTATATAAATAATACAAATAAAGATAATACACATAAAGATAAAAATGATACAAATAAAGATAAAAAGAGATGAAACCTGATCACACAGTGAAGTCTCAAATGGTTTGCTTTGGGCATTTCTCTTCATAGGACAAAAACAGTTCATCTGAAACATATGTTTGGGTTCTTAAGCATTTTTTTTAAATTTCCAAACAAACCCATTTGTCATCCTGTAGCTTTCATAACAATGTTCAAAATATTTATAACAAAGACTATCAACTTTCCACAAAAGCAAATACCTCGGGTATGCCATCCAGTCTGGTCAGTAAGGTGATCACTATTTCTCTTTCTCCGGGCTTAAATTCTAAGACTCCCGTGTTCCCGTAGAATTCACCATCTCGTGGCTCCACTCTGTAGTGCAGGAACTGTTTTACCAGAGCTCCCCTGGAACGCATGATGTGGAGCTCTACAGCTTCTCCTTCCTTTCAAAAACAAGACCCACGAAAGTGGGAGTCATTTTAACTCATCCTTCCGCAGCTGTGGGCCCAGGGGAAGGTGCAAGCTTACCTTTATGACATAGGGTCCTCTGGAAGCAGGACAAAATTCAAAAACTCCCCCGGGATCATCATTTTCCAAAATAACTAGGTCGCGACTGGTATATCCAGATTTTAGCACTTGATTTTCCACGCTGGCCCTGGAGAAGTCAGAAGGGTAAAGAGAGGCACTCCCTAAAGTAATACTGCTGAATTTTGCTCTACTACAGCTCTCCCAGATAATAAAAGGGAAATAATTAGAAACAACACCTTAATGTGAATGTACATATATTAAAATCATCTATGACAATAATGGTCTTACTCAGAACACTTACAGAACAACTACTTCTGAATTCCTTGTATCTTAGATATCAGTCTATCATTAGAATTGATTAAAGAAATGCAAGAATCTGAGGGTTTAAAAGCCAGAAAACTCTGAAGAATTTTCCATCTTGAAAGCTTCTCTGAATCTTTCTGAATGTCACTCCTCCTGAACTAAAACATATTCATATGTGGACCTCAAAGACAAAAGATACACTGGGACATGATAAAGTATACAGATCTCTAGACATTCACACAGTGAGACTAAAGGAAGGTATTTTTAGGAGAGGATCACTAAGGTTCAATAACTATGTGCATATGATCAGATAAAATGGTATTTACCAGAATGAACCCCAAGAAATGAAAACAAGGGTTCTCTGTTTTTTTTCTTGGTTGCTCTTTTTGTTTTCTGTACCCTTTGTCTTATCTGTAAATTTATCTGTTTTAGGGAGGGTAAAGGAGGCACAGAAAAGGGTTAACAAATGCAACAGTGATACTCACTGGACACTATGTTGAAAATGAACTATATAATTTGTGGGTGGGGAAAGGAGAGAAAAATTGGTGGGGGGGGAGATGTGACATTGTTCAAAAAGGAATGTACCCTTTACCTGATGTATGTGACTGTGACCCCTCTGTACATCACCTTTACAATAACAATAAAAATATATTTTAAAACATCACAGTGAAACCACAACTAATACGTAGAAATATGTATAAAAGGCAGCATAATAGAACATATGAATGAATACCTTTCCCAGGCTTTTAGAAATTTAAGAATCCACACATAGCATGTCAGTGACTACAGAGGAATCTAAACAGTATAATTATTATTTTGTTACTAATACCAATGATTTTTTCCATATAAATTTGTCCTCATTACTCTTACAGTAATATCTTCATAAATTTAAAGTTCCTGTACTCCCATAACCTAGTAGGTAAGAACCCTGAATCTAAATTAAAAATATAACCAGGCATTGGTGGCTCATGCTTGTAATGCTAGCTACTCAGAGACTGAGATCTGAGGACAGTGGTTCAAAACCAGCCAAAGTAGGAAAGTCTGTGAGAATCTTATCTCCAATTAACTATCAAAAAACTGGAAGTGGATCTGTGGTTCAAATGGTACATTACCAGCTCTACTGAAAAAAAATCTAAGCAAGAGGGTGAGACCCTGATTTCAAGTGATGGTACTAGCATGCACACGCACGCATGCACACACACACACACACACACACACATACATACACACACACACACACACATACATACACACACACACATACACACACACATACATACACACACATACATACACACACACACATACATACACACACACATACACACACACACATACATACACACACACACACACACATACATACACACACACACACACACACACAACGGTAACCTATAAAAATTTACTCCAAGCATTAAACAATAGAATTTTTTAACTTTCTTAAAATATGCCACCCATAAGTAAAAGGTAAATTTTGAAAATTTCTATATAAAAGACGCATGAAAGCATGAATAAACTCAGAAAAGTAAGAAAAGTGTTAAATGCCTGTTAAACAAGAGGCGATTCATAATTTCACAAATAAAGTACATTATTAACTATTCCCTAGGTTATCTATAAACATATAGAAAATTAAAAATATTCTTCAGAATTAAAGTTCTTCAAAATATGTGATAACACTAATTGTTAGACTTTTTTTTCCTGGTCAGTCCCTGAGCTTTTTTGCTCAAGGCTAACACTCCATCCCTTTAAGCCATAGCTCCACTTCTGGTTATTGAGTGGATAATTAGACAAAAGAGTCTCATGGGGACCTTCCTGCCTAAGCTGACTTTGAATGGCAATCCTCGGATCTCAGCCTCCTAAATAGTTAGGATTATAGGCATGAGCCACTAGAGCTGGCTAGACATTTTATTAAATATCTTAATCACATTCCTAACTGAAAACTTAAGAACCCCTTCCCTCAGAGCTTCAAATAATATGCTGAAATCACATACACAGCATGCACTGGACAAGGAGCATTTCTCAGGATCTGGGACCATGCAGAACTCCCCCCATCTCAACCAAACACAAGCACTTAAAAAAACAAAATGACAAATCACCGAAAACAAGGTATTATCTTTGAACACTTACCCAAAATACACGACAAATCTTTCTGTTTCTACCCTGTCAACACAGAAAACACCGTGGGAGGGAGGAAAAAGGAGGCAGAGGCACCATTTGCCAAAAAGCTCACCAATATTAAAAAAATCTACACCTGATATGGTCTATGCAGAAACATCTTCAAGAAGTCATAGAATATCACAGTAAGTTTTCATTACAATTATATATCAGGAAATAGATATAAATACTTTTTCCCATCTCAACAATGTCTCGTTTTCAAATTGCCTTAACAAGCTCTATCAAAATGTAAAGGCATTTTGAGTATAATGTTTAAGTCAAATGCATCATTAATAAATATGGAGCTTCCTATCACATACTTAAATTCCTTCTGATTATTTATGATTTGGAGAAGATTAAACTCTACAGTATTTTTAGAGACTATGAAATTGAAAGCAACTAATTATTTAGTGTAAGAGAAATTTCTATTATCTTAAGCTGAAATACAAAGAATTTAAGTTTGCATTTAACATTTCAAGAAAATTGTAAACTATGCCCTAATAAGAAGTATAACTCTATTTTATAAGAAGGTTGTATTGTGAGCCCCTCACTCAGTCACACCTTCTATTGTGCATTTATTGTTTCACTTAACTTTTGCTACCAATCCACAAAATTACAAGAAGGATCTGCTAACACAGGCCCTTTCAAATCATAAATTTTATTCTTATTATTTAACTAAATGTCTTCATGCTTAAATGTAATTTGCTTATTCTTGATAATACACTAATTACTAATTGAATGAACACACTGTAGCATATATTTTAAGTAATTTCTTCTATTAGAAAAGAATTAGCAGATTAGAACTAGCAGGATGACCCATTGTAACAATGAGATGTACAAGACACTATGTAGAAAATGAACTTTACAACTTGGGGAGGTGGGGATGGAAGGGATGGTAGGGGAAAAACAAAGGAAGAGGTAACAATGCTCGATAGGAAATGAACTCATTACCTTACTCGTGTAACTGTCACCCCTCTGTACACTATTTTTATAATAAAAAAACATAGAAAGAAAAGAACTAATAATTTCTGAAATATTCTATCATTTGCATCCATAGAGAGATGGGAGAGAGAAAAGCAAGACACATTAAAATTATGTTAATTTCAAATGTTCATATGACAAAACTCAAAATTACAATTTTGAAGGAAACAAAAAATTATCACTAAATGTTTTGCAAGTAAAATCTAAAATAATCTTTAAACATTCAGTTAAGAGCAGGCACTCTGAGGTAAGCTAACAAAGCTTAGCTTCCAACTGCTACAGTTCCAACTTAAACACTGCTGATTATTGTTTAGTTTCTCCAAGATTATTCACTGATTTAAGAGATATTAAAGCTTAATAAAGAAAAAAACAGATAAAAAGGATGGCTCCTATCTTGTATTTTACTGATTTTTTACATATAAAATAGCTTTCCTAAGATTAATTCCGTAAACTATATAAAAACTGTATCTATTAGACGCTGTGTGTGTATGTGTGTGTATGCACCCGAGTGCACTTGCAGGTACACACACTTGCATTTAGTTTGCGCTCTTCACTTTCATTGTTTTATTTTACTTTTTATGAAAGACAATAAACAAACATAGGATGGTTCTGAAGGCAAATAATGACCCTCACAGATTTGTTCTCTGAATTCATTAATACAAAAATAAAAATCACCAATTGCCAGTAGTTCACGCCTGTAATCCTAGCTACTCAGGAGGCTGAGATCTGAGGATCGCGGTTCAAAGCAAGCTTGAGCAGGAAAGTCCGTGAGACTCTTATCTCCAATAAACCACTCATAAAATCAAAAATGGCACAGTGGATCAAGTGGTAGAGTGCCAGCCTTGATCTGAAGAGCTCAGGGACAGTGCCTAGGCCCAGAGTTCAAGCCCCATGACTGATAAATAAATACATAAATAAACAAATAAATAAATAAATAAATCACTCATTTCTATAAATATGTTTGAAGAAAATACCTTCAAAAGAGGATATAGTAATAGTTAATTATAAAATACAGAATAGTCCATGGATTGCATAAAACAATTCTTATTACTTTATTCCTATAGAACACAGATGTCTCAAATTTACCTATGGATTTCACTATTTCTAAATAAGAATGTACAGTATCTTAACATTACATTAACTTTCCTTATATTGTATCACAATCCATTTTTAAAAAACTGTTTTTGCCTTGTAATTTTTGGATTTCTTTTATTTCTACTTTTTAAGTTTGGCAGTACTAGGATTCGAATGTGGGGGCTTAACTTTGCTAGACAAGCACTATACCAATTGAGCCATGCTCTCAGCCAGTTTTGCCTGTTATTTTTCCAATATGTCTACATTCTGTCCATGGCTGGCCCCCACTTACAATCTTCCTACCTACACCAGCTTTCTAGTATCTGGGTGTACAGAGGCATATCATCACACCCAGCTTGTTCTTGACATAAGGATTTAAACTTCCTGCCTCTACTAGACTCAAACCTCAACTATCCTGATTTACCTGTCAAATAAGTGGGATTACAAGCATAAACTACCAGGTCTAGTCTTTGGTTTTTATTTTGTTTTGTTTTAATCATTATCTAATTAAACTCAGTAGTATTTATTTTTAGAGATTTCTGTATATTATAAAAACAACTGTAAAAGTTTCTAACTATAAAGTGACTTCTGAGAAATGCTTAGTAACTTGCTATTATGAATGAAAAGTTGCCCCTTTAATTTGATTAATTTTGATTCTCTAGGAAATAAACAAAATTCAATGTTTAAATTCCATGTTAAAAACAGAAAATAAAGATTAATTGCTTTATTCATTATTAAAGATTAATGCTTTAGTACTTGAAAAAGTTCTAACCTGCTCCCCTACAGAAAAACAGAGATTTGTGTAACTTAACAATTCAAGTATATGACTAGTGCCTGTTGCTTTTCATAAAGAATCAAATTGGCTTTGCTTCAGATTTCTTTAATACCTGCTGTAAATCCTCTATTCAATATTTCTTCATACAAATAGCATTACTTCAAATGTAGAAAAGAATAAAATGAAAATCAAGGTTATCTAAACACATTCACAAAGGTCACAAGGATTTATGTGAGTGGGCTCTTACCTGTCTAGAGAAAGTGTGAGAGTTTCATTCATTTCCGGTATGTCATCACCCTTGACAGTAATGTTGATTGTTGTATCACTTTGACCAGATAAAAATACAACAGAGCCATTAAAGGGATCCAAATCATCCATGGTTACCACTTTTGAATTAAAGGCAGAGGGCTTCAAACTCCAGTAGACAGTAGCTTGGCCATCAGTTCCATCGCGATGTAAGGGAATGTACACCTTATTTTAAAAAATAAAAGAAGACCAAGTTCTACTAAAATGTATGCTCAAAAATAAGGTTGAGTTTGCCAGTCCTCACATACATACGAATATGTATTCTTTATATGAACTAAACTATTAAGTGACATTAATAACAATTAAAAACAATGGTGTTATATGCTTCTAATACTAGCACTTGGGAGACAGAGATAGGATTGCCCTTCAAAACCAGCCTAGGCAAAAGTATTAAAAAAAAGAAAGAAAGAAAGAAAGAAAGGAGAAAGAAAAAGACCAATAAAAACAAAAAGAGCTGGATTCATCATGCAAGTCCTTAGGGTTTGCTTGGAAAGCACAAAGCTATGAATTCAAGCATCAATACCAAAACAAAAAAAAAAGGAAAGAAATGTAGCCAGGCACCAGTGGATAATGCCTGTAATCCTAACTACTCAGAAGGCTGAGATCTGAGGATTGTGGTTTAAAGCCAGCCTCAAGGAAAGTCTTTGAGAAGCTTATCTGCAATAAACTACTCAGAAAACGCCAAAAATGGCTCTGTGGTTCAAGTGGTAGAGTGCTAGCCATGAGCACAAAGAAGCAAAGTGACAGTGCCCAGGACCAGCAAAAAAAAAAATCTATAAAATCAACCCTCATATCTAACAAGGATTTGTCTTAATAGAAAGACAAAGGTATTTAAAGCTAAAGAATCCTGAAGAGAGTAGAACAATCTTACTAAATATTGTTTTTTCTCAGAGGTTCTCTAAAAAAAGAATTCAATATCAGAACATAAATTGGAAAATAAACTGTCATTAAAACTAGAAAGCATTTTGTACAAATATTGAAAAATGATACAAAGCAAAGTGAGAAAATGTTACTAACCAACAGAATAAAAACATAAAAATAAAACTGAATAATGAATCATGACTTGGTTACTTTGTTCAAGTTATTTAACCTCTCTAATCTAGATTTTTGCATGTGAAATAAAGCTGCTGATTCCCAGTTTTGCAAGATGTGACAAGAAGTACTTCCTGATCTTGCCACAGAACAAGCTAAATAAATGGACAATATTATACTAATTCTGAAACAAGCTCTATTTGGTAGTTGTGTTCTTATGAAGCACATTTTAAGTACATAAATATATAGACCATGATGAACTCTTTTCAAAGAATATACACAGTATAATCAAACAGATGCTATTTTCTTTACATTCCTAAGATAGATACCATCTTGTATCTTTGATTTTTACATAAGTCAGTTTTGAAATACACAGAATCTAATATATGTTATATATTACAATTTCATATTATTATATTATATGTTATATAATATTATATTACGTATTATATATACCTAGCCAAAGTAACAGTAATATATATAACAGCAATATATATTATAACAGGATATATAAATAGCAGAATATATAAGCAGTTATATACATTGGTTTATATCTTACTATATATATGCACTTGTGTTGTATGTAAATTATATATTTTATGCAAATAATATATACAAATAATATACATAAAAATATATACAAATAGGGTCTGGGAAGGTGGCTCAGTGGTAGAGTGCATGTCTTGCATGCCAGAGGCCCTGGGTTCGATTCCTCAGCACCACATAAGCAAAAAGAAAAAAGCTGGAAGTGGCGCTGTGGCTCAAGTGGTAGAGCGCTAGCCTTGAGCTGAAGAGCTGAGGGACAGCGCCCAGGCCCAGAGTTCAGGCCCCATGACCGGACCCAAAAAAAAAAATATATGTATACAAATAATATATTTTATTGTAATATATAATATATTATACAATTTATATATACACACACACATCACTACCACTGTGGCTAGCAATGGTCAGAACTTCACACCACAAAGTAAGATTCTTAGAGAAGAAAAACTAGCAAACAAAAAACTAACAGAGGCTGGCCTCTTTGTCACCTGAGGGATAGGGCATATTTGGATCATTATGTCATATTTGGGTTATTAGAAAAGCTAGACACTCCTACTTTTACTGTTCTCAAAGAGAGCAATTCAAGCACAAACATTAACCTCTGAAGGATAAAGTTGAAATTGAGATATTAAAGATTTCAAGCTCTTTTAACTAGGCTGGCTAGTGCTTACTCTCCCTCCTACCCTCTCCCCTCCTTCTCTCTCTTTCACTCACTCTCTGTAGATAGATAGATGACAGACAGACAGAATCTAGACATTATTTCAAACTCATGAGGCCATGTCAATAAGAACTTTCTTACCATTTCAGCAGTAGACTCTTCTGGTTCATGTAAAATGATTGGAAGGTTGCTAATAAAGCCAATTTCTCCATTTGCAATGGCTGGAGTAACTAGTAATGTAATATTACGAATTTGTCCAAATCTGGGACTTATAGGTGGGATTGGGGGAAATATGTTCATCAACACTGCAGTTTCCAACTATAATAAACAAAGACAGGGGAGAAAGCTTAAAATTCAAAAACAAAAACCCTTGCACTGGGAGCATAGCACAAATGGTAGGTAGAACACTTTCCTAACAAGGGTGAGAACTGGGTTCAATCATCTTCACTGCAAAAGGAAGGAAAGGGAAGGGAGAGGAAGGAGAAAAGACCAGGGTATGGTGGGGTGGGGAGGGATGAGAAGGTAGGAGAGATACTCTCTGGGCCTCCCTATTGTTTATAATAATAAATAGCACTCTATATCACATAAATGCCACAGAGATACTTACAGGTAGGGACTATCCAGACAGAAATCATATCTACTCCATGTCACCTCACCACGACCATCATCCAGTACTACACCCAGCTTTTCTATGATCACATAAATCCCAACTATGTCTTCATCTTTTTAAAGCCAAACCCAGAGAATGGCTCACACCTTTTATTTCTCATCCACTGACGAAGACTTTCAACTATTCATTTACTCCTCTCCTTTGCCCGACTTTATCTAGTATCAGAAGACCATTCACAACTTCCATTCTAATTTAACTAATTTAATTATATTAAAACCAGAAATTCAATGCAAGTATAAACACCAAATCCCTATAATCAAGGTGGCACTGAAGTGCTCACTCTAGGGTGATTGCACTTAGATTGTTCCCCAGCGCCACCTCACAAATACAAAAGGCACCGATCCTTTAAACCAGCTAAATTTCCTTCCTCTTTCATGAAGCTTTCCTTGAATTATCCAATCTTCTTCATTCTGCTTTTTTCTGAAGTTCTACTGCTACTCTCATTAACCTTAGAACTTCATTACAAACTTCACATGTTCAACATTTAACATATTACTAAACTCATTTTATAAATCCATGGTGTTCGTTGGAGATTTGAAGGAACTAAGAAGCATTTCAGGATTGTGAAAAACAGACATGAATATAAAAAACAGAATGGATGTGTACACCAAACCAAGTAAACTAAAACACATAATTCTTTGGTATAATTCATTAACTTTACAAAGTAAATATAAAATACAAAATGTAAACATATAGTCAAAAACCACATTTTCTTTTTTCTAGAGAAAGGAATGTATACATCCATATGTATTCATATATTCCATATATCCATATGTTCATATATCCATATATTCATCTTACAAAATGGTACAAGGAAAAATAGATTTGAATTGGACCTAAAATCTAGAGTATGCTTGAAGGCAAAGATGCTTCTAAAACACATTGGTCATATATGTAAATATCTGTGGATGAACTAAACTGTTAATGCTATCTCAAACATCAAGGAACTAGAGCTCACTAGATTTTATTTTTACTCAAAATGTTCCAAGACAAAAGAAAATCATTTTAGATATTTTATCAAAAAAACTCACAGAAGTAATTCCAAAAGTAGTATTTTAGAGAAATCTTAAGAGATGATATTGAAGATTATGATATGATCTAACAGGAAATGGCAATTTTACACCAGTCTGGCCCATTTCCTAGTCCATAATCCTTTGGGTCTGAGACACTGATCAATCAGACTGTCTTATTCATTCATAAAGAACCAGACTTTGGGGGCTGGGAAGGTGGCTCAGTGGCAGAGTGCATTCATGAGGCCCAGGATTAGATTCCTCAACACCACATAAGTAGAAGAAAAAAAAAGTCAGAAGTGGCACTGTGGCTCAAGTAGTAGAGTGCTAGCCTTGAGCTGAAATGCTGAGGGACAGTGCCCAGGCCCAGAGTTCAGGCCCCATGACCGGACCCCCACCGCCCCCCCAAAAAACAGACTTTGCTTTCACACAGTTTGAACCAGGACAGCACATTAGTAGCCCATATCTAACAACGGTGTATCTGAAACATTAATATTTATTTAACTGAGTTAGAGTTACTAAAGAATGAGGATCCTATCTTTCGGTTCTTCAGTTTCATTCGGATTCCCAGCCAGTCTAGTTCTTCTTATTCTTCAGTTGCTTATTCATTGTGGGTTAGACAAGCTATGTAATCTTCAAGCTATGTAATCATTCAACCTGCCTTCCACTTTATAGCGGTTTTAACCTCAAGGAATTGTGTCAGGGATAAACAAGTGATATATTAGCTATCTGCATTGTAGAGCTTTTGTTTTCCCACTGAATAGGAAGACACATGAAGAACTGAGTCCAGTTAGTAGAGCAAACAACTTTATAGTCAAGATCAACAAAAAAATCAGATACTAGTATGTCCATTTTCTAATTTGGGGAGGGGAAATAACAAAATGCTGAAACAAGGATACAGATTGATCCATTGTAACAATGTTTCACTATGTTGAAAACAAACTTTACAGCTTAGGGAAGGGGGGGGAGGAGGGAGGCGTTGGAGAGGTGGGAAAGGAAGGGATGGTAGGAGAAAAAAAATGGAGGGGATAACAATGCTCCATAGGAAGTGTACTCATCACCTTACTCATATCACTGTAACCCCTTTGCACAGTATTTTTTTTTTTTGCTATCCCCCAGCTACTCAATTGAAGGCCAGTGCTCTGCCACTTGAGCCACAATGCTACTTCCAGTGTTCTAGGGGTTTTTATTGGAGATAAGAGTCTCATGGAATTTCCTGCCCTGGCTGGTTTTGAACCGTGATCCTCAGATTTCAGCCTCCTGAGTAGCTAGGATTACAGGTGTGAGCCACCAGTGCCTTTTATAATAAAAGAAAGAAAGAAAGAATAAAGAGAAAGAGAGAGAGAGAGAGAGGAAGGAAGGAAGGAAGGAAGGAAGGAAGGAAGGAAGGAAGAAGGAAGGGAGGAAGGGAGGGAGGGAGGGAGGGAGGGAAGAAAGGAACGAAGGAAGGAAGGAAGGAAGGAAGGAAGGAAGGAAGGAAGGAAGGAAGGGAGGAAGGAAGGAAGGAAGGAAGGGAGGAAGGGAGGGAGGGAGGGAGGGAGGGAAGAAAGGAACGAAGGAATGAAGGAATGAAGGAACGAAGGAAGGAGAAGAAAAAGAATTTTACAACTTTGGGGGGGAGGGAGGAGTTGGAGAGGTGAAGAGGAAAAACAAAAGAGGGCATAATAATGCTCCATAGGAAATGTACTCATTACCTTACTCATGTAACTGTAACCCCTCTATACAGCATCTTTACAATAATATATATATATAAATTTAAAAAAAATCAGATACTACATTTTTCCAGTGTTTTCTTAGCTTTCAAAAGTTGTCAAATTCTTTGGTGTTTATATTGAATGATGACTTGAAATAGCTAGGATAATATTTGATCTTCAGACAGTTCTTAAGGAGGATTTGTTTATGTGAAAATTCTTTGCAGCTACTTTGAGAGAACTATCAGATATTTTAAACATTTACCATAAAAATAATACTTTCATAAGCAGGAGTTGAGAAATGAGTATGACAAGATACAGGGCACTTAGTTTTTCTTATTAAATAGTTAAAAAAATAAAGTCCAGGTATTCTGTCTACATTTAATAGATAAATAAACATATTTTTAACCCAGGAATGGTGGCTCATAAGTATAATCCCATCTACTCAGAATAGAGGTAAGACAATCAAGCTTGGTCAGAGTTACCAGGAGAACTTGTCTGATAAACTAAAAGAGGGGCAGGAGATGAGAGTTAAGTTGTACATACAGTATTTGCCTAGTAAGTATGAGCCCCTGAGTTCATCCCCAATACCAGAGAGCAAAATAAAAATAGATTTTTTAAACTATTTAAAAGAGAAAAGGGTTTCATATTGTATTTTTTATTTCTGAAATATCTCATTCTTACATTTTCTCAAATCATTTCAAAGCAATTCCAGCTCTCTCATCTAACAGGTTGTTAAATTACCCCATTTTGTCATTCACTAGTCTATTTTGCATTTCATGTCTTGTGTACTTTCATTAGCACCTGATTTGATTGCTAATTTTAATATAACCCTCATCCTACTATTGCACATCTTAGAAGCAAACATTGTCTTTGAATTCCCTAAACAACTTTAAGTAACAAACAGAATCTGAAATATAAAGAGAGCACAATAATGGTTAACTAACTTTCATAGAAGTAAGTATACTTGCAGTTTAACTAAAACTGAGATTATTTTAATCATTAAAGTACCTGTACTAGGAAGTGGGCCCCATTTTGAAGGAATGCATCATTTCTTATTGGTAATTTTGTAGCAATTTGAGTTTTATGTTCTGGAAAAATGAGGTAGTTTCTCCTAGAAGTATTTAAGATGCCATCTTTCCCTCTCAAGGGGTCCACAGCTCCTGTAGGAATGTACAGTGCAGAATAAAGCATCCTCACATCTCCTTTGGTTCCTCCTAGTCTCGTAAAACTCAAAGACAAATAGCGTTCCTCTGGACTGCTTTCAATCTTCTGGTTTTCCATAGGAAAAAATGTTATGAGGCCATAAACATCATCACTATCCTGAAGGTAGAATAAAAGCTGTAAATAGAGAGGTAAAATATTAGAGCACAGAAATCTTCCATCTAAGGTTATCAAACTCTGCTTTCTAAGCTATTTTGATGTTTAGTATTTATTTATATAGCATGTCTAAATGATATCTCCTTTGTTTTCTTAATATATATTTTTATTGTAAAGATACTGTACAGAGGGGTTACAGTTACATGAGTAAGGTAATGAGTACATTTCCTATTGAGTATTTTTATCCCCTCCTTTGTTTTTCCCCAATCATCCCTTCCCTCCCCACCTTCCCAACTCTTCCCTCCCCACCCAAGGTTGTAAAGTTTGTTTTCAACAAACTTTATACATCTCATTGTTACAATGGGTCAACTTGTCCTTATTTCAGCTTTTTGTTATTTACCTCCCCTCCCCAAATTAGAAAAATGTATATACAAGATGCAGGGCCATACTAAAGCCACCAGCACAACTATATTTATCACAGCATTATTCATCATAGCTAAGATATGAAACCAACCCAGATGCCCCCTCAGATGTGGTATATGTATATAATGGAATTCTATGCCTCCATCAGAAAGAATGACACCACTCCATTTGTTAGGAAATGGAAAGACTTGGAAAAAATATATTAAGTGAAGTAAGCCAGGCCCAAAGGAACATAGGTCCCATGATTTCTCTTATCTGTAATAACTAGAATATGTCTAGGACAAGCAGAAAAGGTCAAAAGCTATGAACATATGACTATATAAGATGATGCTAAGTGAAATGAACCTGTTAGGGACACAGAGATTTTATGTTTGTTGCTGTTGTTTTAAATGTATTTATAATGTAATATTTTTGGTTCCTCTTTTTTTTTTGGGGGGGGGGGTCCAGTCATGGGCCTGAACTCTGGGCCTGGACACTGTCCCTCAGCTATTCAGCTCAAGGCTAGTGCTCTACCAGTTGAACCACAGCGCCACTTCCAGCTTTTTTTCTTTTTGCTTATGTGGTGCTGAGGAATCGAACCCGGGTCTCAGGCATGCAAGGCAAGGGCTCTACCAGTGAGCCACCTTCCCAGTCCCTTGGTTCCTCTTTTATGTTCTTCTTTCATGTTTTCAGTGATAACTTTTTTGCATGAGTAAAAGATAAAACTTTCCCAAGTTACAAAGTTTTGAACATTTTTAAAGAGTAAAATATTAGAGCTGGAGTTATAGCTCAGTGTTAGAGCATGTGCATGACACACACAAAGCCCCAGATTTCATATCCACTACTAGAGAAAAAAGAAGAGGAAAAAAAAGGGGGGGAGAAGAATTAATTGCAGAAGAAACAGTGTTGAGTTTCCTTTGTGTCCTCTTGGACTAAACAAAACTTAAGCTTCTTGTGATAACATGCTTTGGCTTTCCATAGAACAGAAACACAGCAAAGTATTGCAGAACAAGAACTCTACCTCTGCTGGCTCGCTCACTTCCGCACCTCCTTGTATTGTATGAGGCAGAATTTTAAGCAGAAAAGCTTCAGCCTCCTCTGCGAACTCATCATGAACAACGGCAAGAGGAATCGATGCCAACATCTGCCCTTGTGCAAAATGGAGAAGGCCGGAGCTAGGTCTGATATCTGCTGTCACCGGTGAGGGATCACTGCTGTTCCGTGTCAGCACCCAGCTCACAGACACATTGCCATGGGTGCCGCCATTTCTAACCACTGTGATCTCTTCAAATCTAAAATTGTTTAAATGAATGTACACTGTCACATCACACTCCCTTAGAGTGGCTTCCCCAGTATCGAGTTAGTGAAATAAAAATCTAGCACACGCAAAAAAAAAAATGTTATTTTTAAATTTTAAAGAGTAGAAAAGTGATAGTGTCCTAGGAAACCATTACCATGAGAATTCATCTGCATACTTATATCAAATTTAAAATAAAAAGAAAGCAGTGAAGCAATTGTAAAGAAAATGACACATGTAGTGTGTCCAGCATCACCAAAATTAAGTCAAATGGCTAGCATGATGGCTCACACCTGTCATCCTAACAATATAGGAGATAGAGATTGAGAAGATTATGACTGAAGGCTAGCTTTGGCAAAACACAAGCAAGATCCACTTCTGAACCAACAAAATCTTAGCATGGTGGTGCATGCCTCTTATCCCAGCTACAAGGGGTAAGAGGCATGCTTGAGTGAGAGTAAGTAGAAAGTCTTATTAAAGAAAAAAATAAGTAATGGCTGGGATGTTGCATTAGTGGTATACTGCCTGCCTAGCAAGCACAGAAGCCTGATTTCAATCCCTAGTATGGCAATATACATACATGCATAAATACATACATACATAAATGCATACTGAAACACAGTTGTAACAACAGGCTGAAAATAAATCATACCTTGATATTGTGTCTTCATTAATTACAATTGCCTTTTCAAACAAAATACTATTGAATGAGAGGACTCCATAAGGTTTGTCATTTGGCTTGATGGTGACTTGTATACTCTGAGGGCCTGTCAGCACAGCATCCCCCTGCAAGGTACTCTTTAGTAACATAATGTGAAATGACTCAGAAATCTCTGGTATAGTGTCGTCAATTATTTGAAATTGCAGATGCGCTTCATAAATAAAAGGTGGGAAAACAACGGTTGTGTTTGGCTGAAGATCAATGAAGTCCAAGTTTTGCTGAGCATGTACTGTTGAATTCCCAGTTAGAACTGTGTATTGCATTGAAACTTCATATTCATCAGATCCAATCAGATTTCCATTGCTATCCTTCCCACGAACCACTGGAATAGAAAGTATATGGTTTTCCTCAGGTACCAAATAGACACTCTGAATGAACCTGACAGGGCCATCATTTTTCTTGATGATGATCTCAACTGAATTCCTAGTGATATTAATCTCCGCTCCTCCTTCTACCTTTTTCAGGTGAATCAAAAATATCTCATCATTTTCTGGCACCTATCAAACAAATAGAAACCAGAGTAAAACATCTATAGCCAAATTATAAAATGCAAAGTATAAGAAGTAACTATGTTTCAATGCCATTACACAGATATAGCAAATAACTTAAGGGAAAAAGTAGAGAGAAGCTCTTTTAGTCTCCATTTACCAAAATCTTCATAAAGCAATGGCATGAGGAATTAATGAAATCCAGTATATCTTTCAATCTTAATGAGAATTTAGGTAACTATAAAGATTAAATAGCAGAAATGGACATAAATTCTAATAATTGTTATTAAGTTGATAGGTCAGACATGGTGTCCAAAGTCTAATAATAGGGTTAAAAGCTGTCAGCTTTTATTTTTATTGTAAAGATACTGTACAGAGGGGTTACAGTTACATGAGAAAGGTAATGAGTACATTTCTTATCGAGCATTGTTACCTCCTCCTTTGTTTTTCTCCTACCATCTCTTCCCTCGCCCCCTCCCCACCCCTGCCCCACCAAGTTGTAAAGTGCATTTTCAAGATAGTGTCTTGTACATCTCATTGTTACAATGAGTCAACCTGTGTCCTTATTTCAACATTTTTTTAATTTGGTTGGTGGTTTTTCTCACAGAAAAACCTGTGAGACTCCCTCTCCAATTAATCTACAAAATATTGGACTAGAGGCATGGTTCAAGTGATGGAGTATCAGCTGTGACCAAAAAAGATGAATGAGAGCACAAGGCTCTGAGTTTAGTTCCCAGTATTGGAACAAGTCTAATCTAAGAATCTGAAACAATAATTGTTCACTTTCAACATTAATTGTTTTCTTCTCCCTAAACATTTTCTAACTCAGATATCAAAAAAATATGATATGATGGATCTGGGAAGGTGGCTCAGTGGTAGAGTGCTTGCCTTGCATGCATGAGGTCCTGGGTTCGATGCCTCAGCACCACATAAGCAGAAAAAGCTGGAAGTGGCGCTGTGGCTCAAGTGGTAGAGCGCTAGCTTTGAGCTGAGGAACAGCACCCAGGCCCAGAGTTAAGGCCCCAGGAGTGACAAAAACAACAACAACGATATATATATATATATATATATGATATATATATATATATATATCAATCACACATATATATATCATATATATATGTGATATGAGACATGTTTTCCAAAATATACACGTGCCCCTTTGGAGAGTGACTATCAAAATACTACATATATCCTGGGTACCTCTCCACTATGCTACTCAAACTTTTCTCTTGTTTTTTGTTTTGTTTTTTTTGGGGGGGTCCAGTCATGGGGCCTGAACTCTGGGCCTGGATGCTGTCCCTCAGCTCTTCAGCTCAAGGCTAGCGCTCTACCACTTGAGCCACAGAGCCACTTCTGGCTTTTTTCATTTTGCTTATGTGGTGCTGAGGAATCGAACCCAGGGCCTCAGGCATGCAAAGCAAGCGCTCTACCACTGAGCCACCTTCCCAGCCCCTCAAACTTTTCTTAAAAGCCACAAATTCTATTTAAAAAATGAAAGTTTAAAAAGTAACATTATTTTCTCCATCAGTAGCAATATTACAAAGTAAGCCTATTTGTCTAAACAAATGAAAAAGGTGATTTAATTGAGGTATTTTAATTTTACAAATAAAATGTATCATTAATCGTTCCCCCCAAATGATAACCTTTCAGATCTCAAAAAGAGTATTTGTTTCCCTCCAGGATAAGATGAACTTAAGAGTTATCAAGACTTCCAGTTATTATATCTATCATAAGAAGTTACGTATTAACCAGCCATGTCTTCAAACAGTATTAACATGCTCATAACTGAAGTATAACAGGTGTACTTTACAAAATATAAGTACATTTAGCTTAATATTTGACATGACATCCCCTAAAACTTGGAGACAGTCCTTGTCCCCCAAGTATGCTTAACATTGTCCCACCTCATCATCAAGAACTGTCAAGTTATAAATGACTGTTGCTCTGCCAGGGGGAAAAGTGATATTTCCTCTAACTGGGCTTAAGTCTTCATCAGGGGCATTTGGGCCATCCTCAATCTGCAAAGAAATATACAGCAAAATCAATCACAAATTATTTCAAAAGGGTGAGATGCCAGCTCACAAAACTCTGAAGTTTATGGAAAGATGTTTTGCAACTATTGTAAATCCATTCTTCTAATTAACAGGGGCTATAATGTCACTATATATCTTAACTATCATTGCCTTAAACTATGCTGCTTGTAAGATTTCTGTGTTTTCCTCAGTCATTCTTTTCAACCTCAGGGAGCTCTAGAAGTACTTTTTTATAAGAAGAATATTTAAGACTAGTAAATTCCCTTCAGAAATGAACCTAAATCCCCATTCCAGTATATCCAAGTGGCCTTCAATGTTATTAAACAATGTTGTACCAAGTTGTCCTCATCTGTAAAGTAAACATAAGAATTTTAATTTCACAGACTGAAGGAAGACATGCAATCATTCATTTAATAAAGTATTTACTGTAGTCTATTCCTGATCACTTTTGGGTTCTAAGCACATAATAATAGAAAAAGCACACTCCAGCCACATGGACCTATAGTAACTGGATGGAAACAAATGATGAATGATGTGTGCATATCACAGGATAACAAATTTGATGGGAACAAAAAACACAGGACACTGAATTTTGTGAAGGATGTTTCTGTATGCAGAAATAACCAGTGTAAGGTACATATGTCACATGTATGGCAATACAAAGTGTTCCCAAAATGCTATCTGTAATTATTTAAACAAAATAACATGATGTGGACTCAATAAAATAACTTATCTTAGATAAACTGAAGATACTATAACTTGCAAAGCTTATTCTTTCTACATATTTTCTATCTTTCCCATATCTTCAGGGCTGGGAAATTAGCTCAGTGGTAGAGGGCTTGCCTTGCATGCATGAGGCCCTGGGTTCGATTCCTCAGCACCACATAAGCACAAACAGTGGAAAGTGGCGCTGTGGCTCAAGTGGTAGAGTGCTAGTCTTGAGCTGAAGAGCTGAGGGATATCGCCCAGGCCCAGAGTTCAAGCCCCATGACTGACCAAAAAAAAAAATTATCTTCAAAACTTTATTATCTAAGTACATATTTTTTCTTCTTTTTCTTTTTATCTAAGCAGCTGTACAAAGGAGTTGTACAGCTATAGAACTGTACAGTTGTAGAAGCTGGCACCAGAACTTTTGAGTGTTTATTGTAAGTTGAAAATAGCACATTTGATCATATTGTCAAACTGATAAGGTTGAACTGATAAAGGTTCAACTGATTTGTTGAACCTTTAAATGTGAATCTTCAGAACATCAGTTTGGTGATACAGAGATCAATCAATAGGCAGTAAAATGATTTGTTTTACCTATCATCTGAAAAACTGTCACATTTTTATAAACACTATAATACCCATGGAGCCCTACAGTGGAGATAATTCCTATTTATATCATCATTCCAGTCCGAAAAAAAAAATAGAGGACTGACCATATGTTGAATACTGTTTTACAAACCTAAAAAAAAATCCATAGATATTTTTAATATATACCCTTGAAAATATTTATCATAATGATTCTACAAATGTTATAGAAGTAACATTATCGTTCTCTGTTGAGACTTATCATTTCATCATGTCTAAAATAATTTAGTGTCATATAAATTTCACACACAGAAGCAGCAAGAAAAATATTTTTCTGCTGTGAAATCTACCAGATAGCAAAGGTATTTCTTTTTTATTTTCATTGAATATTGTGTTGATAGTATAAAAGGCTTTAATTTACAAAATTGCAGCCATCTGGTATGGACTCTAACGTGTTATCATCTAAAATAATTTCCTGGTAAACTTACCTCAAAAGTCACAGTGACCATTCCATAGGTCCCCTTTTCCCTGATGAGAATAAGAGGCACAGATTCATTTCTGCCCCTGGGCTCACTCACTGTGACTGGCGAAGGCTGTTGGGAAGAGCAGAGGCACTGATCAATCAGATGTAGGTCGTAAAAGCTCTTACCTCAGAAATGTTGAATTTCTGCAGGCAAACCAGCTCATACTACAGTATAAAATAAGTGGCATTTCTGTCAGAAGTCATGGCACACACCTGCCTGTAATCCCAGCATTCAGGACACAGAGTCAGGAGGATAGGAAGTTAAAGAAGCCCACCCGAGCTACACTGTGATTTCAACACCAACCTGAAACTACAAATAAATCAAAAAAGGGCTATCGGCTAACTGTAACTGATAAAAGTTGTGAAGTTTTAAAAGTAATAGTGTACAGTAAACAAAAAACTGGCCAGGTAAAAGATGTTGTTCTGTCTACCACTACTATCTGCTATTATCTATTACCTTGAAAGTTACTTAGCTAAAAGAAAATTAAAATGCTCACAGAACCTGTCAGTTCATAGAACTGAGTTAAGCCTCCACTGGCACCATCTTGCTCCCAAAAACTGTTCCGTTGTCATCAAACAGTTTGTCACTGAAAAATAATTGTCAGGACATGACACCTTTCTAGTAGTCTCCTTTTTACTCTCATGACTTTGGATATTTGGTTTGTTTTATTTCATTCTCTTTACCATCCATAAAGAAAAATCATGTAATAGTGTTTCTGAGGAACTGGTTTATTTCACTTAACAGGATGGTCTCCAGCCCCATCCTTTTTTCAGCAAATGACAGAATTTCATTTTTCTCAATGGCTGAGTAAAACCCATTGTGTACAAATTCCACCATTTTCTATAAAAGCTGCTTTTTTATTTCCTTTTGTCAAATGGGACATTATAAACTTTATCCCTGAAGACTATGCGAAGGATGACTGGACCCTCAGAAGCATCTTCAATTGCAAAACCCCTCAAGTAGAACAAGTAGAAAATAAACATGCTGCAGCTACAGTTGATGCAATTTGTGCTAAAATATCAAAAACAGGATGGCAGCATCATGGAAAAATAACTTTGATAATTAGCAAACTACTGTCTGGCAGCTACTAGAATCATCACATCGTGACCATACCATAGTAAATGAAATGATCCCAAAGGCATTGTCATTTGATAATACTGTCACAGTAACAGTCCTTGGCCAGCCAAGCTTCACGTTAGCTGAAGGTTTCTAAGATGAAAATAAAAAATAAAATGATAAAGTATTGCAAGAAAAATAATAACTTTGATAGAGTAATCTATGTATGTAAGTAGTTACATAGAGCCTGAGTGATAATACAAATATACTTTTAACACATTAAGAAAAGGGATTCAAATTAAGTCCCAAATGAAAAAATTTTTGAACAGTTTATAAACCATTAACCACAATTCATGATATCTAATAACATAATTTTAAGTAATCACTAGCTACTCATACTATATTATAAGTTACATTGTGATTGGTATGAGGTCATTGCTAATAGAATACAATAAACATGCAGTACAAAACTTTATTCAAATGTGATCTGTTTCTCACATGATAGAAAATGCTTAATCTTGTTATTCTATGAATCAGTACCCAGAGATAAAATATTACAGAAATCTTTATTTTAAAAACTGCAGTTTTCTACATGTCTACTGATACACAGAGTAAAACGAAGGAGCATGTTAAAAACATAAATTACAACATCAAAGCCTAAATGTTTCAAGCAGCAGTTTCACAAAATTTTAATCATACTGACAAAACTACTTTGGAAAAAATAAATTATCAAGGGCCCATAGAAAATAAAAATGGAGCAGTGCTAGAAGCTACTGACTCAACCTAATAAATCAAGCCATAAAATAAGTTCAATTAGATCTTAGGCTAGTCAAGTCCCCACCTTACCCCCAACTTCCCAGGGTTCTCAGAGTTTAGTCTGAGTCACAAAAACCTTCCACTTTCATGCTTGCTTTTTGTGTCCTTGTATGAACTTGGAAGTTATTGTCTTTCTTTATGAATCTGGTAGTTAGAGAATAGCTAAAATTAAAAAAAAAAAAAGGCCAAAACAAGGCGAGGTTTTCTGCAGTATCTCTTCCTGACAATTCCTAATTAAGGTGAATGAATCCTAGCTGTAGATCGCAACAGGATTGATAGAGAGAATAACCAGACAGTGAGATTACCAAAGAGATTTTCAGTTCTGGTTTAGTTAAAACCCATTGCACCACCTGAATTGGCTTCTTTCAATAAGTAGATTTTTTTGTAGCAAGAATTTTTTATGAGCTTAAGGTAAAGGAGGGTAGAAAAACTCACTTGTAATGTCAAGTGGAAGATGAAAGTTTCATCAGGTTCTGGTAGATCATCATCACAAACTGCGATGTACACTGTCCTATTTGTTTCTCCCACAGGTATGAAAGCTGCAGCATATGTGTCAAAAAAGTCTCTAGTGTCTTCTCCATGCAGCTAGCAAATAAAGGATACAGGTCATTCTTAGCACTCAACGAGAAAAAGAGATCCTGATGCTAATTGGTGCAATCAGATAAAAGAGCATGGCACTGACTTTGACACTGGACAGCATACAAAGACATGCAACATAAACGCATGACAACTCATAACAACAAATTTCCTCAGAAAAGAATTTATAGAAATAAATAATTCTCTTCAAAAAATTTCCTTATATTATGGAAGAAGATGAAATTACATAGAAAGCTAACAATTAGGAAGAAAAAAAGTGCTTTGAATTTTTTCCTCTGGCTCTTAATTGATCAGGGGTGGATTACTACATGTCTAACAACAAGAGGACTAAAATGCACACACAAAAAAAGAAAAAGAAAAATGTAAAATTATCCTGCCAAAAACTGCCAGGAAAATCATTTTTTCCCCAATTGGCTTCCAAAAATTTACTCACCAAAACTTTCAACCTAAAGTTTAGCACAGCACCTCCAAAAACAGACACAATCTTTTAACATCTCAAACCAATTGCTTACTATATTTTAAGGTCTTAGTCTGTAAATATCCACATAACAAATTCTCCAGGTATTAAAAACTACAAAATTATGAGAGAGCAATTTATTGTGTAAATTTGAATGAGATTTTTCTTTGCTAGAGAGCTAAAAATGAACAATTTAACCAGCAGAGAAAAATAAATTTTATACAAATAAAAATGGAGGACATTCGTAGGGAAATTTTAGTCATTATAGTTCCAGTTTATGAACATAAATTAGCTTCTAAATACTTGAGAAATCCAAATACATTGCCAAGGGTGTTACAAAACTTGTACATATACTGTAATACAGACTAGGTTTACATAAGACAGCATGTCTATATCAGAAAACATTATAAAAAGTCACTGAGGCAAAAAGAAAACTACAACAAACCAAAATCATTAGTTAATCCAAAATGGAGTAAAATAAACACAGACACATACATAAGTAGATTTATCAAAATAACATTCAACACAGCAAACACCAAAAGAAAACTCAGTGAAAAGGAGTTAGAGAACAATTAAGGTAGAATGATAACATTATCAAGGAAACTGAAAACGAAATAGAGCAACCTAAAAAAATTGCAACAACACAAGCAAAATTACATTAGAAAATTTAAACCTAGACAAAAAGCAAACATACGTGTCATAAATAAAAACTAAAATTAATGTACAAAATTACATCATTGGAATGAGCTCACAGTTCTCCTTTATCTGTTTTAACCATATGTCATAGCATGACAATTTAATCTATTTCTTAAAAAATTATTCTTGAGAACAAAAATTTCAGGTACTTTGAGCTTCAAATATAGCCCAGCAATACTTCACCAGGCACCAGTGAATACTGCTTGTAATCCTAGCTATTCAGGAAGCTGAGATCTAAAGGATAGTGATTTAAAGATCACCTGGGGGAAAATAGTCTATGAGACTCCATCTCCAATTCAACAGAAAAAAAGCCAGACTGGAGGTATGGCTCAAATGGTTGAGCACTAACTATGAATAAGTAAGAAGAGCAAGCACCCTCAGTGCCCTGAGTTCAAATTCTGATTAGAATCTGAAGAGTAGATCAAATTTGATCAAATTTAAAGAGTAGAGTAGTTCAAAAATTTAACAAACGCTAACTGTTAATTCAGTTAATATACTCAATTACTCCCACAAAAAGAACTTTCTAACAGAACTGTCAAAAGTACATGACCTCTGTGAACCCACACTGTTGCTATTTGCTTGAGGAGAATAATGTTATCAACAAATCATACTGAAACTAGATTCAGAATTATTTTTTTTAACAGAAAACGTTCTTGCCTTTGGAACTAAAAGAATCGAACACGTATTTCCATAAGCACAGTCCTAAAGCAATTTCTTACCGATACAATTGCAGTGATATTAGCTGGCTTTCCTACCCTTTCAATGACAAGACGAATGACTGTTGTGCTTGTTTCATTAACAACAAATTCTGTTTGTCCAGCAAACTGTATTTCTGTTTCTCCAAGTACAAAAGGGATGAGGAGAGCAGAAAGAAGATTTACTAATAAAGATGCAGAAGGCATGCCTAGAAGATAAAACAAAAATAAAAAAAATCATAAAACTTTCCAATGCCTTTTTATTATATTTTTTCCTCTACACTGTGCATATAGAGTGGAGAGGTAAGACAGTGCACAATTAAGATATAAATTCATCAACCATAAAACCATCTGGCTCCAATGTGTGATAACACAACATTCACTGGTATCATAATCTCTTCTTCAGGTTCTTCTTTCTCTGTTTGTACTTAGGCTTTCATCTTCAGCTTCTATACGAAGATAGTAACTGTAAGGCAAATGTTATTAAAGTAATTGAAGATTTATTGACACATTTTAGTCTGAGAAAAACCCAGTAAACAATAGAGGATGGAGAGTTTTCCATGGCAAGTTCAGCTTTCCATCAATAAAATTGAAATACTATATTCAACTAAAACAGTGAAAGCTAACTTTTCAGGAGTTGGTTGATTTTACAACTAGTGCCCACATTTTTCTTAGATATGTCTTCAGATGTTTAATCTTTTCTTCAAAAAAGAGACAGCTTTCAAGATGTCAGTTTCTTCCATTTTATTAGCTAGCATATGAATGCCATTTCTATAAATGTCCATGTTGCTTTGAAACAAGTAAATTCAGCCAACCATGTATTTTCTTCTTTTCCAAACTCCTACAGCTTTCTTCCTACTACAATATGTGTGTCTATGAGTCATCAATATTGTTCCTACGTTCAGTTCTGTGTGGTTCAAATGCTTTCAAAAGCACAACACTCCAGTGGCCTCTTGAAAGCACTGCTGTTTTGATATGTAGATGCACCTCCAAAAATGTGAACAATTTATCTCACGGATCATTAAGATTCCAATGGATCTATGGGATCGGTCACACGAACATAACAAGTCCATGCATTTTAAAGAGAGCATATTAAAGGAGAGTTGTATTACCTACTCTGGACCAAAATATTTTATATTAATCTTTACTTTGGCTATAGAACTATCATATATTTGGTATTTTCACAAGGCTACAAAAGATTTGATTTAAAGAATCACCAAATATATGAACTCAATATATTTCAGGGTTTAAGTACATTTTTTTTCAGCCTACTATATTCACACAATGCATTTTGAAGGTCATTCAATGATGGTTCACATGCCTCCAATTACAAAAGGCATAGAAACAGAAATACAATTCAAATTGAGTTCAGGAAGGGACACGGGTCAATAGGGACTCTGTTTCAGCAAACCAGGACATTTGTTGCCTCTTCTCTAAGCATGTCTGTGCCGAGGCTAAGAGGAATGGGAGAAGAAATAAAAACAATTAGTCAGCAACTATAAACTCTTTCCCAATTCCTAATTCAGGAATTTCTTGCAAAGAAAGAAAATGAAATGTTGACAGAAAGTGAAAGAAGGAAACGAACAATAGATTAGAAAGGCTTTATCATACTTCCCATGAGTGTGAATAGTTCTGAATTACAGCCAAATGCAAAAGATCTTTTAGGGTACTGTAGAGCCAGAATGATTTCACCCCCCACTTATGACAAATTATGGAAAGGAAAGAATCTAGGAATGGTTGAAAAAACATGGAATGAAGGGGTATGCAGGTAACAACTTAGGCCTTGAATGCAAAAGAGGAAGATCAACTTTTATCTACTGTGATTGTGAAACAAAAATCTCAAACCCTTGAATGGATGTTGAGTAGAGAAAATTCAAGTTAGAAAAAATTAAGTAAGATTACAGCATGAGAAGAGAGGGCAACCAAAGGAGATTTTCAAAATCATCCTGCCTAAGGATCAACGTGGGTGTTTGTTAAAATGTCAATACTCATTCATAGAAATTCTTATTTCTGTTTATATTCTTTTTAAATTGTACTTTATTTTATTGTAAAGATGCTATACACAGGGGTTACAGTTACATAAGTAAGGTAATGAGTACATTTCACGTACAAAATTGTAAACACCTCCTTCATTTTTCTCCCGTTATCCCCCCTACTCTACTCTACCTCCTGAAGTTGTAAAGTTCATTTTCAACATAGTGTCTCTATTTATATTATTAAAGCAATAGAAGAGGCAGAAAGCTAAGATGTCCCAAGACAGAAGAGAGAGTTTTTGTTGTTTCTTTTAAATTCTGAACCAGTAGGTATAGGTTGTAGGTCAAGAATATTCACTTAGGAAAGAACAGTGCTGGAGGAATATCAATACCAAATTTCAAACTCTACCACAAAGCCATAGTAATCAAAACAGCTTGGTACTGGCACAAGAACAGACCTCAGGACCAATCGAACAGAATTGAAAACCCAGAAATGAACACACAGACCTATAGCCATCTAATCTTGGATAAGGGAGCTAAAAAAAAAAATAGAATGGAGAAAGAACAGTCTCTTCAGTAAATGGTGTTGGCAAAACTGTTTAATCACTTGTAGAAAACTAAAGCTAGATCCTTATATATCACCCTGCAACAGAATCAACTCCAAAAGGCTCAAAGACCTCGGAGTCAAAACAGACACTCTGAAAACATTACAGGACAGAATAGGAGAAACCCTAGGTCTCCTTGGCACAGGCTGAAATTTTCTTAATAGAGACCCAGAAACACAACAAATCAAAGAAAGGTTGGACAAATGGGATTGCATGAAACTGCAGAGCTTCTGCATGGCAAAGGACATAGCTAGCAAGATCAATAGAAAGCCCATGTATTGGGAGAAGATCTTCACCAGCCATATAATGGACAAGGGTCTCATATCTAAAATATACCTGGAACTCAAAAAATTAAATCCCCCAACAACAAATCCTCAAAGAAACAACTGCCCAATAAATAAGTGGGCTAAAAGCTTCTCTGAAACTCTTTAGAGAACTCTGAAGAGGAAAGAAGGATAGCCAATAGACACATGAAGAAATGCTCAACCTCCCTAACCATAAAAGAAATGCAAATCAAAACAACATTGAGATACCACCTCACCCCAGTTAGAATGGCTATAAGCAAGAACTCTAATAACAACAGATGCTGGAGGGGATGTGGACAGAAGGGAACCCTACTGCATTGTTGGTGGGAGTGTAAACTTGTTCAACCACTTTCGAAAGTAGTATGGAGGTTCCTCAAAAGACTCCACATAGAGCTCCCCTATTACCCAGCAATCTCACTTTTGGGCTTTTACCCAAATGATCACAAACAAGACCATACTAAAGCTACCAGCACAACTATGTTTATTGCAGCATTATTTACCATAGCTAAGATATGAAACCAACCCAGATGCACCTCAGTAGATGAATGAACCAAGAAAATGTGGTATATATACACAATGGAATTCTATGCCTCCATCAGAAAGAATGGCATTGCCCCATTTGTTAGGAAATGGAAAGATTTGGAGAAAAAAAAATATATTAAGTGAAGTAAGCCAGGCCCAAAGAAACATAGGTCCATGGTTTCCCTTATTTGCAATAGCTAGTATATGTCTGAGACAAGCAGAAATGGTCAGATAAGTTGATGTTAGGCAAAATGAACCCCAAGATAAGGATTCAAATGGTTTTTCTTTCTTGCTATTCTTTCTAACCTATTTATAAGGTATTTCTTTGTTGCTTTGTATGTCACTCCCCCATGGTATAATTCACTGTATTTGATGTTGGTATAATTTGTGTAGGGGAAGGGAAAAAACAAATTGTCTAAATAGGGATACAGGTGGCCCAATGAGATGTACAAGACATTATGTCGAAAAACGAACTGTCCAACTTTGGCGCGGCAAGCAGTGCAATGGGAGGGGGGCGGATGGAAGCTATGGGAAGGGGAAACAAAGGAGGAGGATACAATGCTTGGTAAGAAATGTACTCATTACCTTGCCCATGTAATTGTAACCCCTCTGTACGGTATTTTCATAATAAACAACAAAAAAAGAATCTTCACTTAGTAAGTATCCTTGTTCATTCTGATGGAACTGATCTTTTCAGTATACTTCAAAAAACAGTCCTAAGCAAGAAGAGTAGTGTGAGGAATGTGTCTCATGGTAGTCACATGAAAGATGCAAACATGTACTTAACTCTTTAATTGTTCAGTGCTACAGACATGAACTTTTTCCCACTTCCTCTTATGCTTTTCTCATTTTCCTGATATGGTATTTGAAGATTCTATGCATTCTAAACAAAAGTACTGACTTATTGAGAGTAATTATAATAGCAAATGCTGATATACTGTTGTACTTTATACACACTAAATATTCAGTCCCTAAACCCTCTGTGATACCTCTGGGTATCACAAACATAGCTGTGGAAACTAAAGCACAGACAAAGTAGTTGCAATGCTCTCACTCAGTTAACTAAGTGGCTAAGTAGGATTTGAACCCCAGAGTCCACCACCAGACTCTCTGTCCAGAAATCCCACTATACTGCTTCTGATACTCACTCTTACAAATACACCAACCTTTATATTGACAAATGCGGTAGACTGCTTATGCTACATGTTTTCAAACATCCGAATACTCTAAACATGCAAAATAACCAAAAATTACCATAAAATTCCTAACTATGCATCTCCTAGAAGTATGCACCTTATTATTCTGACAAATATTCCATGTTTGTACTGTTCACTACTTTCAATATTTAACAGCATCTTTTAATGTCAGGACCAATGTGCTCAAATGCTGCATTCTTACAATTTCCCAGGCAATTAGAGCTCCAAAATCTTGTGGTGAAGTCAGTAAATTCATTTTAAATTGGACCACATCAATGAGTTTCAAGATTATGCAAAATGAACAAAACAAGCATGATTGGAAATGTTTCAAGTTGTGTGACATCATTGATAATTGCATCGCCTTCGCTTTCATCTTCTCACACTGTAAGAAAGGTTGTTGTGGTGATATTGGCATTGAATAGAAATTAAAAGATGAAACAAAAGCTTTGAAAATGATGCTTCCATTAGAAGAAGATAGGCATAATTACAGAATAGCTGCATACTTCTGTTTTCAGAGTAACTAAGAATACTCTGCTCTATCATTCTAAAAATCTTGTGCATGAAATTCCTTTATTTTGTTTTATGCAACTCAGAATGCCAGGCATT